TTTTATCTTTAATTTATTTCTATATAGGTAATATTTTTCTTTTTTAAAGTTGTGCGAGTACATATGAAATATTAAATTTATAATAGTATTTTACTCACTGCTGTGCCACTAAAATAATTAGATATTAAATTAAATAATTCATATATGGAATTTCATAAAATTAATTTTCAATTCATATTTAGAACGCAAAGTTTCCGCTTCGTGTGGATATATATATATTTATTCATCTCGTAAACTTGATATGATGAAATCGGATCGATTCAAAAATTTTTAAATATGTTCCAGCTATTATCAACCATTGACTGGATATATTTATAGGAAATAGAAAAGTTCAATCTGTCTACTGATATACTTACTCAATTTTGTTGTTTGACTATCAAAAGTAAAGTATTGTATTTATTCAAATGTTAGCAATATTTTAAAACTTGAATGTATTTGTTTTCATTTTGACTTATTTAAATCAAATATTCTTCTATAAACAAAATATTTTTTGACATTATTACTCTAATTTATCAATTGTTATTTATATCAGGCATTTTATGATGAATAATTATTGTTTCGTGCAAAATAATTATTTCACGCAACATAAGTATTTCAAATAATATTATTTCACGTAAAATAAATAATTATAATTAATAATTTTCGGGGTGATTGGACTATTTTGCCCACCTGAAGGAGAAGGAAGCCTTCGAAATTGGTGGCTCAATCTTGAGATATTGGCGAAGAATTAACGATGTTATGGCTTGCCGATCAAAAACACCATCGATAAATAATATGAACTCCTCCTCTTTCGATCATAGAGACCTCAAGTCGATGAAATGAGACATATATTCAATGACAGTATTACAATTAACGTAAGGCTGTGTGGGTACGAACCCTATGCCTTACGTTATCTCGAAAATAGTACGTTTTGGGGCTTAAAAACGCAGGATACGGGTCTTGCTGTACGCATCAAAATCTTCAAGGTCCAAGTTGTCCCGTATCGATCTACAGACCTACCACCGTTCCAGTATTGAGGCCTTGCAAAATGTTTGTATGGAATTTATTAATTTTAGAAAGAAAAACAAAAGTGGAGAATACGATTCGCCAACCCCCTCGTGAAATTCTGAATCCAACGGTACCCCATTCATGGTATTTGAGCATGACAGGAGCTTATATTTGGTACAAAACCGATTTCGAGCCTTACTATAATAGTATATGTGGGGAGTGGGGATGGGGATGGGGAGGAAATTAAAAAAAAAATAACAACCGCTTGGCAATATTTAAATTAAACATACATTATTACATCCGACATTGTTTGATATCATGAGGTAATATTTTTAAATATTGATTATTATTTGAAACAATAATATTAATTAAAATTTCGGTGATTTCAATGGTATCTTCTGTTAGCCGTACGGCCAGTTTTGACTCCTCCAGTGGACTCAGTGGAGTTCATTCAATTCAGATACGGATCGGACGAAACTGTTCTTTTAGTCGCCCGTAGGACTGTTCGGTACATGTTAATATACATGTTAACATTATCCTAAAGATATAAATATCGAAAAAATACAGATATATATCATATCAATATTTTTCAAATATATCGAAATAGTAATTCAATAGAACGAATACATATATATTCAATGTATCAGACTTCGATCCTTTTGGTCATTGAGAAGAGTAGGGATATAAATATCTAGTAATAATACCAAGGGCAGAATTAGAACTTGGTGGCTAGCAGGCTGCAGGTTTCAAAGTCAAAATTTTATATCAGTATTTTAGATAATAAATAATTATTATTATTAATACTAGGAGGGTATTCTCTGTCCGCCTTGCGGCTGATCAATTCCCGTAGAGATTATATTATATAAAATCTTTATTTTGTATTAGGAGAGCTGGAGGTTATAGGAGCTCAACACCTATGTAATTAAATGAACAGTTGTATTATGTGTAAAATAATCGCCATATGAGAGCAGCACTATCAGGCCTAGAAGAGTGGGTTGAACAGTTGACCTCCTGTAAACTCCTACTCTCCTAATATTAAATTGAAAATCGAGTTCGAACAGCTGATGCGCAAGGTTGTGTTTCCAACTCACCTCTCGTTATTTACTGCTTTTTAAGAAGAATCTCTGTTATTATTCACTTTAAACAAGTCAAGGATACACCAGAAAGTTGATATTTACTGTGTACAGTTATCAACATATAGATATTTTTTTCTTATTATTACCATGGTCATAGCTATTAGAGTGACTAATAAGATAAATTGACACCTCGACCTTCCCCTGTCAAACAAAAGCCTCGTAAATCTCGCCAAACACCTCCAATGACACCTGTTCACAGCTCCGAAGAACATGAAATCCAGTCCATCACCAGAAGAGAACATTGAAGAATCTCAGCTTCAACCAGATACATGACAGAGAGGAAATGGAGTCCGCGCCGATACCAAGAGATACCCCATCTCTACTGATATTTGTTAAGAACCTAAAACATTTTCAGTTACTATGGTCTCAACTAAACAAAATAGCAGGCTCCGGAAGGTGCTCATGTCTAAGTAGAACAAATGAGACCAAAATTTCACCAGATATAGCTGAGACCTATAGACAAATTGTGAAATATCTAACAGAGGCCAAAGCAGATTTTCACACGTATCAATTGCTGCAGGAGCGAGCTTTAAGAGTAGTTATAAGAAACCTATACCCCTCAACACCTACTGAAACAATAGAAGAAGAACTAGAAACTTTAGGTTTTAAAGTGCGCCAGGTAACAAATATTGTAAAAGAGAGTAAGGAACAGACAGGAGTAAAAGTTCCTCAGCCCCTATTTTTCATAGACTTGGAACTGACTTCAGAGATCGATAAAATTTACAAAATAACCAGATTATACTACACAAGTGTAAAAGTAGAGAAGCCGTATCGTATGAGGAATATCGTCCAGTTCCACAATGGTCAGGCGTATGGCCACACCAAGACATATTGCCATCATTTGCCGCGTTGTGTAAAATGCGGTGGACAACACAAAAGTTGTGAGCGCACAAAACCTAAACAAGAACCTGCAGTTTGTACTTTGTGCCATCGAAAGACATCCGGCGAACTAAAAAATCTGCCAGATATACAAGAGTATCAAATCCAGATACCAGAAATTGAAAGATCCATATCAAGAAAAGAACCTTCCAAAATCATAAACCCGGCAGTGTCTTTTGCATACCTATTGGGAGATAAAAACTAAATTACTTATTATGAGACCCTGCCGCAACAACAATATCAAAATTCTCATCCCTCACCCAACATCCTACTACTCAAACTTCACCTAATCCTCAACAATTCAACACCAATTTCTCACATCCCTCCTCCATCAAATACCACAGATCTCACCAGTTTACTTACTTTTTTCCTTTCTGAATTCAGATCCCTTGTTACTCCTTTGACGTCCCTTCTCACCAATATTTTATCAGATTTTATCCCTCCCTCAAAGAATCCTTAAATAACTTCCAATAAATCTATATCCATTCTACTTTGGAATGCGAATGGTGTTAGAAATCATACAGACGAACTATCTACATTATTACTTGACAAGAACATTGACGTGGTACTCGTTACTGAAACTCGACTAACCACTAAACAGCTCTTCAAAATACCACAATACCTGACATATCATATTGACCACCCTAACGAAGGAGCCGATGCCGGTACTGCTGTCATTGTACACCAATCCTTCTTCCATCACCTACTCCCATTTCCTAAAATCCACCGCTATCGTAATAAAAACCTTCTTTTTTCCGGTTACCCTTGTGTCAGCTGGATGTTCTCTCCTGGGATGTCGTCGCCTAGTTCACGCCGTTGAAATTATTTTTTTATAAATTAAACACTTCAAACACTTGGGTCTTGTTTTCGTTGAGAATGGAAATCTAATGCATAATTTTAGCTTGAAATAGTGTTTCCAGCTTCAAAACTTCCACCCAAGACTTATCTTTCCGTTTTTTTCTTTCACTTTGTCATTTATGACTAACAATTTTTGAATAACAAATAAATTTTTTATTTTAATAAATCAAAATTTATTTTATTAATTTTTATGAATAAATACATTTTTCTGAATCAGAGCAGAGAAAAGTTTAATAGTTGGAAATTTGACAGCCAAATACATCACGTTACAGTGTACTCAGGTCATGTTCCCAGTTTCCATCACACCCTCGAGACGAATAATTACTTCAAGATTTTAGCTTAACATGAACCTTTTTTTTTTTCTAATTTACATAATAGAAAAATAAAAACTACTTACATATAAATTCGCTAACAGAGCGAGAGTGCTTACTATAATATGAGGCATCCTTGAAATTATAATTCATATCGATAATGGAAATGTTCGTAAAATTTCTTCGTGTTAAAATGTTACATTTTAATTCTCTTTGTAACGCCTGTTCTAGAAGGCGGGGAAGGAAATCAGCTGGTTTGCTTGTCGGAATAGCCGAGCTCAAATTATAAGTCTCTCTTCACACGTACAGATGTTATTCCATTACCTAAATTTATCAATAAATATTTTATAAAGTTTAATTCCTTAGGGCGGTTACAGAAAAAAAATAAAAGTAAAAAAGAAATACGAATTTGACTGTTATTACATCGAATTGTCATAGTGCAGAAAACAAGATTGATAATAACTAGGTAAGCTGAAAAAAGTAGGAGACTGCAGTTGTTTGGTAGATAAAACTTATCGCAACCATCCTACTCTACATTTTCGTTTTTCTTTTGTTTGTCTTCTTTCATTTTCTATTTCTAATTAGGCTACAGGCTTCCTAACTCCTAAATATATATTTTTGGTGTAATAACGTTTTTATTTAACTTCTTTTGCTTAATTTGCTCCCAATAAAACTTGCATTAAAAATTCAATTTTTATTTTATGAACTAATGTCTTTTTCTTATCTGGTTATAAATGTATCTTGTGAATTGCATCTGTCAAAGTAAATTTTCTGTTTTTTAGTTTCTGCTTTGTTGATAGTAATAAATTATTGTTTCAGAATTAGCAAAATGAGTGACATTGAGGAACAGAATGATGAAATTTGTGTTTTGAAAAGTATTTATACCAATGAAGAATTACAGATTGAAGAAAGTAATTCTAATTGTATCAGTGGACAATTTCTAGCATTTGTTCCTATTCCTTCAGACTTTAAGATAACCTACAAGTTAATGGAGTTAGGTTAGTTATATCTGACCTGTAATTATTAAACTGCATGTGTTAATTTCAACAAAGATTTTGGAAAAACAAAAATGTAAATAGATGTTTTCAACACCTTGTGTATAGATAATAATGTCTAAACAATAATGTGTTGAGTAATCGTTATAAAAAGTAGTCAAGGACTATTTGAATCAATTACATTTACATAGTTTAATATGATTGAGAAGTGATTTGTGATATGTATCTGTAATAATTGATTATAATTCACATGAAAGATTAATCTGTATTGACCCAGTTTTAATTTCTTTTAGATTCTATATTCCAGAAGAAATTAAATAAAATGTTTAATCTTAAGGCCTAAAACAATGTCTTCAAGGAGTTGTATCAATGAAATAAATTTGTGAAGATTTATTATGTTTGTTGAACGTAATAAACCGTATTTTACTTTTTTATTAAGTACAATATATTTCATGTTTTACTTTCATTATATTCATCGTAAAAGCATAATAAAATCTATGATGATTTTAAAATTTAGACAAATCATGTTACTTATTTATTTACTAGTAATGAAAATTCAGGTTTTTTTCTTAAGAGATTTTAACTTAGGGACTAAATTAAATTTCAAGGGAACGTACAATTAATATTGAGTTTTAGCATAAGTTTATTTTTTATGTTGGGTATAGTTTGTAATTGATTTCGATTGAAACTAGTGATCGTTAAAAATAAATGGACTGGCCATCTTATTATAAACTAAAGGCATGAATGGATATTTGTGTTATATAACAATGATGTTGCTGATAATGATTTCCCAGTGGTATAGACTGCCCTACCATCCTGTAACATTGCAAGGATTTTGGATTCTGTACTGTGTAAGGAAGTACGGTTCTTAGACTAACGTTTGTGGAAGGAGGTGATTTGGCCAGTATCACAATAAACTGTTCAGTCCTCCTCCAATTTATAGAGGCTGGGATTATATTTCATTGAGACTGGGATTACAGTTTACAGATGCTGGGAGTACCACAGCTGATGTAACAGAATCTATTAATATCTGCCATAGCTGAACTCAAATCTGGGCCGAAGTGTCTTAATCTTTAGATTAAGTCATGTTTCTTAAAAAAAAAAACTTATCATTTTATGGAAACTTTAAACGAAACTCTTTCAACCACTCTTGTCTTCAACTATTAATTAGCCCTACAGTTCAAGATCATTTTTTATAAAATTACTCATTACCACAACAAAAATTATGCATGTATCGTTGGTTTATTGCAAAAAGTCATTAAGTGACATATCAAAACCTTAAAACACTAAGAATTTTGATTAATAGTCCCTTTGTAAAATCCCATAATTGTGTGCTTCTCTCACTATATTTGATAGATAATACAATTTGTATCATTTTGGTGTACTTACTGTGTTCTTTTTTATTGATAATTGATAAAAAAAGTTCTTAAAAGTTGAGCTTCATTAAAAATGTACTTAGTGACCCTTTGCAATAAACTAAGGATATGTTAGCAATTTGCCCTTTGAACTTAAGAACAAACATTTTTATTTATTTATAAGTTTTTTCTTGGAGGACATTTGACATAAAAAGTTTTAGAACATATACAAGTATTGCAGATTTCATCATAATAGAAACTACTATTTTAATAAACGTGATTTGTGATACGTTGAACAGTTAATATTAAATCCATCCACTGAATAATCTAAGCGATGGGATAAAGACTGTTCAAATTTTTGACTGAACACGAAATTCGACCTTTAATTAGTTTTTACTGATTGGTGTTAATAATAATGTATTTATTCATGTATTTTATTTTTTCACAATTTTTTTGAAACTCTGAATGTTCTTTTTTATGGATAAGATTTTATTCTGTATTTATCTACTCCTAGTCATGTTACGGCCTTGTCCAAGCTCTTAAGTTCTATATTATCTACTTGTTATCAGCTCATAATCCAATGATTTTTTAAAATATTTATTCTTTCTTGACTAAAAATATAGGTAGCTCATTGTAAATTAATGGAGTTCATCTTCACTATAACTGAATTGATTATTGCAGAAACAACACATGTGACATTTTTACCAGTTTTGAGTGATTTTGTGGTTTGTAAGCATTGATCATAGATCCATTTCCAAAAAACACATTCCATTATCCATTCCTTAAAAAATCAATTCAATACATTGCAAGAAAGAAAAAGATGGTTAACCCTTGTCAAAATTTTAATTTTAGTTTCAAGATACATAAAATCCCTAAACCAACAAGAAAAAATTTTCACCATCTGCCTGTGTACTGTTTTTTTCTGTCAAATCAATTTATTAATTTTTTTTTTAATATCTTTCAATTCTATATTTATATTCTATATTCTATATTTCAGAAGTTAAATCATTACATATGTAGAATCTGATGATTTTATTTTACTCAAAATATGCATAAATAATGTAAACATTGATTGTTTACCGTATACGTAGTTTTTTATCTTTTAACGTTTCACTATTGTATTGTTTTTTGGGGGTTTTCTCAAAATCATGAATATTTCACTTGTGTTATTTCTGCAATACTGATTCAATTAATGTGCATTTTCTCCTGCGTGATGTGTCAGCATAAGTTTTGTTTTACTGTTTTCAGAAGGCAATACTGATGAGATACCAACAGAATCAATACCCATATCATTTTTACCTCCCATTATATTGTCATTCAAGTTGCCAACTGATTATCCATCAAAAGAAATGCCAGATTATCAGATTTCATGTCCATGGTTAACATATTCTAAGGTAAGGATGGTCTTACCCAATTGTGCTTGATTTATTAAATGAACTATTTGGTGAAGGTGTTGTGTAATTTAGTAGTCTAGATTTTGTTAAAAAATATTAATACAGTAGCATCTTGATCTTAATCCCTATCAATACTAAGCTTTTTAAAATAATTATTCAGAAAGTTAATTACTTTTGGGATAACTCCAATTAAATTACTTAAATAAATATCATTTACTTTGCATTTTAAATATCAAACAAAAAATTTAAACTCATAATATATTTTCCTTTCTTTATTGTAATGGTCCTCATCACAATTCAATCGAAAATCACTAAATTACCGTATGTTCTTAAATTCTTTGCATATTGATCTCCTTTATTTCTTTATCAGCAGAATACTTTGTAATCACTTATAAAATATTAAAATATGTCTGTTACATAAAGAAATGTGTTTTAGATGAAAATACTTTGCAAGAAGATGGATGAACTTTGGAAAGAGAATAAAGGGATGGTAATTCTTTACATATGGACTCAGTTTTTAAAAGAAGAATCAATGTCTGTTTTAGGAATAGGGGATACATTGGACTTGACAGGTTTCAATTTTATTAGTTAACAAGCTTGTTTGTTTTTTAAATATATCTTGTGTTGTTTATTTTAAAATTTGTTTATTTTCTTTTCAGGGTTCTATGTAAATGAGTTGAAAAAATTTGGAAAAACATCTAAAAAATCAGAGCTTCTAAATGACTCCCCTGAGGTTCATAAAACTAAGCTAAGGCCTTCAGTTGAGGAAAAGATTAAAAGAAACAGCAAGCAATATATCAAACATAGAATTACACGATACCATGTCAATATGCATTTACATCAATATCTCAAAGCGTATAATGAAGATCGTGCTAAGACAGTCTTCCTCAAAGGGCTTTATCTATGTAGTATATGTTATACAGTGAGTATATTTATTAAGTTGGATGAATCATAATTTTTTTTTGCAATACTTGGTACTGGTGTTTATTGATATTATTATAGGCTCGAATATGAGTCAATCATTCTTTTTGAAAATAATTATCAGTGGAAAACATGGGATACCAAAAATTAAACTGCTTATAAAATATCATTTTCCAATTTAATGTATGAATCTCTAAAGGTTAGTTTAGACAGTTCTTCAACTAATTCTTGAAGAAACTAAACTGTGCTTTGTTCAGAAACTTAATTCTGTAAATGTGTTTTGATAAGTAACGAGACAAAATTGCTCCAAAATGTTATAAATTTGTAATTGAGCAATATTAGTACTCCTCATGCTCAGGAAACATCAAAGCTCTGATCTAATTTTACTATAATAAAAGGACAAAAACAAATATATATATATATATATATATATATATATATATATATATATATATATATATAAAATAAACATAGGGAAATAAAATAACATGAGTAATCAAAATAGTTTCTGGGGGTTTGGAACCTAAGAAAGTTCTCTTATGTACATTTTGTAATCAATCCGATTGGGAAAGAAATAGGCCCTTAAAGAGGAGAGATTTGAAAGAGGAAACTGATCGTGCATGTCAAATATCAGGAGGTATAGAATCCCAGAGGGAGATGACTTGAATTATAAATAATTTTTCAAACGCAGCAGTTTAGTGAGGAGGAGGATAGAGGCTGGATGTATGGGCTCTAATGGTAATAATGTAATATTTGACACTTTCAGTTGACAGAATAACACTCCAGTTTCAACATATTTTATTATTAATTTTAGTGTCATTTCTAGTGGTAAAATTTATACCTTTATTCAAAGTTCTATATTTCAACTATGTAGTCACCTACTCTGGAATCAACTTACTTGCAACTAGAAAAATCACTGAAATGACATTACTCAAAAATGTTGAAATTGGTTTCAATTGGTCATTCTTTCAACTGAAAGGCAGATATGTATATAATTGATAATTGTGTAATATATGCATATAATTAATATTCATTAGGCCTTGGAAGAAGTATTGAATGAGTTAAGAAATTGAATAATGATTCTTAGATCAATTTATTCTATATTTTCCTAATCAATAAATTCCTAAAACTGTATTGTTCCTAGAATTATTTACTATCATTGGGTTATATTTATCTCTATTTTAAATAGTCATGTTAAAATTACTAAGGTAAATAATTCAAGAGATGGTTAGTTTAAACTTTTTTCGTTAGTTTGAATTAATTATTGTTTCAAGCTATTTCAGTTTTTGAACTATTTGTGATTTTTTGTATTCAGGAAAAGCTAGGATTGAATTGTATCCAGTTTAAACCATGTGATCATGTGTACTGTCGAGATTGCATTAGATCTTATTTTGAAGTGAGAATTAAGGATAATAGTATACAGACAATGCCTTGCCCGTATCACAAGTGTATGTCTGAGGCCTTACAAAATCAGGTAAAAAAGTTACCAAGTATTTTATTAGCTAATTTTTCTTCACAAAATTGTTTCCAATATAGGATATGTTCGTACATTTTAAAGTTTATAATTGATAAGTTATGATTAATTATTAAGTTAGTTCATGCTGTTTTACTATAAATAAGCTAAAACAGTTTTATGTACACAGCTCAGATAATATGAATTACTTGTATGTCAAAGCCTTTAGCAGATATTTGTGGGTTCATTTATAATTCCTCTGCAAACTGTGTAGTAGTTGTTAACGCCCCATACGCTCATTTCTTTATTTTTTTAATTATTATTTTTTCTCACCATTAACCCCTTTTTAATGTGAATATTGGAATAATTTTTTTTTTTTTTTTGTAATAGGAGGGTTATTGTCCCGAAAGCGTATTTAAAATTACATTATTATATATTTAGCCTTATTCTGCGATGTATTATCGCATTTGTGTATACGCTCCAGCTCGGCAGTAATACCCTGTCTTAGGGATTAACACACCAAAATACTGCGATAATACTGTTGGGTCCTCAGTGTGGAAATAGCTCTTGTCGACACTAGACCCATGTAGTGGAAGTCTACCCCCACCATCTTCACCAAGCTCCAGGTCTCGTCTAGTTCACCTCACCAGCGCCATTTTCGAAGATCAGCTGTTGGGCGCAGCTGAGTAATCGATCGAGATCGATACGACCCCACCATCAATTACTCGACAGCTGGATATTGGAAGGTAACAGGTTGGAAGCAGAACCTCCAACTTGGCTTGTGTTTTCTATTCTCACCAAGACATTTTCTTGGTGAGAATAGAAAACTGGTCTTCTGTTTTCTTCGCTAAATTAGTTTACTCTTTTGGACCATCATTTTTCTCTCTTGTTTTATTTTTAATTTTAGAAATTGATTTCTTTTTGTTTTACTAATAATTGTTAATTTGGGTTTATGTTCACTGAGTATTATATTTTGTGTTTAATTCATTTCAGTGAACTTCATATCAATCTTTATTTGGTTTTAAGTATTGTATATATTTTATATCTCTTTTTTTATTTAATATAACTGTGTGAACATTCAAAAGAGGATTTTTTATTTTCCATTTTTTTATTTATTGAAATATTTTTATTTTAATATTTTCTTGTTCATGCACATTTTTTATGTTTACAGGTCTCATTTTTACTCTTTTTTTAACCTCTTTCCTCACAAAATTTAATTTTTCTTGAATTTTCTCCACCATTGAGGAAACGCACCGGGGAAAGATTTGTACTTCGGTTTTGAAGTACCCCTGGCCCCAACAGTAGTCTTTACCTTTTTTTCTGTTTTGGTATTATAGTTCATTTTAAGGTTAATAGTGGTATTGAAGCACACAGTCTGTTTCCTGTAGCACATACCAGGTATAGCAGTTAATAATTCTCAATTGTTTTCTGTTTTTTAAAAAGTTGAAATGTGGAGAAAGGTAAAAAAATAGTTTATATAAGGATACGGAATCGCTAGTTAAACACTTTTCCCATCTTAATTGCAATTTTTCTGTGCCCTCCCAAAAATACTGTACATCTTTTTAGGTGGTCCAATCATCGAGCCATTTATCAACATCTTTCGTGGAGATCTCCTATTTCATGAAGAGTGCATGAGAAATCGTTGAAGTCAGAAGGGACAAAGTCTAACGAATACAGTGGGTCGTGCAAGAGTCACCAGCCAAGATTAGAAATGATATCTGAACGCTTTTGCTGTGCGTGATGATGTATTGTCGCCCTGCAAAATTAGTTTTATGTGTCTGAGAGGCCATTCTGGCTGCTTTTCGATCAGTACATGGTTCAAATTGATCCATTGTGGCAGTAGCGAACGTTACCAACTGTTTCACCTGGTTTCAAAAACCTCGCGGTATAGAACACTCATTTGATCCCATTTACTGCACAGCATTATCTTATTTTCAATGCAAGTTTTTGCGATTGATATTGATGATTGTCCTGGATCATCCCATTATTTTCTGAGTTTTGAGTTCTTAAAATATAACTATTTTTTGCCTCCAGTCATGATCTGATATAAAAAAGTCTTTCTTTTATGCCGAGAAAATAAAGGAGTAATTTAGCATCTTGTAATTTTTTCGGTTGACCTGGGTGTTCTTTGTTTTTCAAGTCAAAATTACTGCTTATCCAAATTAAAGCATAAAAGCATCTTGTATTAGGATATTGTCCCCATAAGTTTTCACAAGTATTCGATGGCTTTCACTCACATTTTCTTTTGATTGGACTAGAAAAGCAGAACATGCTGCAAATGCTCTTAATGTCTTCAAACTCATCATATTTACGAAACAAAAAAATGTGGTGCTATCCCAAAATTGTTTATACATCAATGGCATTTTAAAAGATATTGTCATTGGAATAAAATAACATAAAAGGTTAGGCTGTGGACCAATTCTTGTTTCCAGCGCCATTTTTTAAAAAAATTAAGAATTATTAACTGCCACACCTGATACTGCTGGTAGATCTCGTATTGTGTCTGTTGATTTGACCAGATATTTGGGGGCTGACTGCTCTTTGGAATGATAGAGGTCCAAACTCTAAAATTCTTGATGTTACAATCTTTTTAGTTGTCCTATTTTTTTCTCTATCAAGGAATGTCACATTCACATAAGATCGCCACACAAAAACCCACTGAAATGCCATGAAATCTATATTCTTTGCCTTTAGTTAATTTCAATGTTGTTTCTGAGATATTCAAAACTACTGATAGCATTATAATAGGTTTTAATAATCCTATCACTCACCTCCTTTATAATTGAAGAAATAATTATTTATGAAAATAATTATTAATAAAAAGGAATGGCAGAATATATAGGTTTTTATGATTTTATCATAGGTGATATTTCTTATGTTGAAAGTTTCTGTGAAGTATTCAACATATCTATAGTGATATACGTTGGTTATAAATATTTTGTTGGGTAAATGGGTGAATGTTTTCTTAATCATGCCGTTCCTATAGATACTAATTTTTATATTATTTTTTATTTAAATAGTTCCTTTTAAAAAAGCTCTGGTTAAAAATAAACTAATATATACTCTCTATTTATTATAATTAGTTGAGTTTATTTTATTTTTTGTGTGTACATTAAATAAATATATTATTATATTTCAATAACATTTAATATTTGTTTCAAATCAATTTTTGTGTTCTGTTTCTATAGATCCGTGAAGTTGTCGGGGCCAGTTTATATTCTAGGTATGACAAACAATTACTCGCAGCTACTTTAGATAAAATGCAAGATATTACTTACTGTCCTCGCACTGTATGTGGATGCCCTGTCATGAGGGATACTGATGAAAAAATGGCAGTCTGTCCTTCGTGTTCCTACGTATTTTGTGTGTTCTGTAAAATGACATACCATGGTGTAGAACCGTGTCGCCTTAAGAATGGTAAGTTGAATACTATATTTACTCTTGATTTATGAGAAGGAGTTAATCGGGGGGGTGCGGTCAAATAAGTACTAAATTAAAATACAGTAATTATTTAATTTTTGCCGACATTTCGACCCACTTTGCAGGTCGTCTTCTGGGCTACAAAAGATACAAAATATGTTGAAAATAAAAAATAAATAAATAAATAATAAATAAAAAAATAAATAAATAAACATGTTTTGTAACATTTCAACATGTTTTGTATCTTTTGTAGCCCTGAAGACGACCGCAAAGTGGGTCGAAACGTCGGCAAAAATCAAATAATTACTATATTTTAATTTAGTATTTATTTGACCGCACCCCCCGATTAACTCCTTCTCATATTATATCAACGGTCAACCGTCTCTACATCATTACTCTTGATTTAGTTAATTTTTAAAAAATATTGATAGAAACTGAATTATGCTATTTAACCTGTGCAAAAAATGGTTTATCTGTGATTTTTCCATCCTGGATGATTCACCTGCTAAATACCTACCACCACATGGCTTTTTCGGATGGTCAAATTTGTTCGTATTGAAGCTATCTGCCAAACATAATATTTTTACTAAACCGGCTCGATATCTAGATTAAAGAATTTTTTAAAGAGAAACAAAGTTGATATTCGTTTCTCATGCCTCAAAAAACTCTAAAATAGAATTTTCATGGCAATCTAAACATTAAATATTTTACATGAAATTTTCTTACGAGCAACGAAAATTCTGATAACATCAGAACGACTTAACCTAATCACACGAAAAATTATTAGGGACTTAAAGCTCTGTATGCTACACGATATTGTATACAACCAATCTCCATAAACAAATTAGAAATAAAGAAATAAAAACAAAAACAAAGAAATAAAATTTAAATGATTGAGAAGTTTTTCTAAATTTCTAGCTTAAAAATGAATGAAATCCAAAACTTATTGGTGTGGTTTGGAAGAGCAGTAATTGAGTTTCCAACGGTTGTAAGGACGAATTTGGAGATAATCTTGAGAAGTTATGAATGCTTTAGTTAACAGCCGCAAACCAATTCTTCTAGAAAATCATCATCATCATAATCATATTCCTCTTTACCGCCTATGCAGTGTGAGGTTGCTTCTTGTAGAGCTTGGACCAGGTGGATCTTTCCAGTACCAGCTCTCGTCTCCTGTTCCATTCAAAACCTTGCTTCTGGAATGCACCTCGCACGCCTTCTTCCCAGGAGATTCTGGGTCTTCCTCTCGGTCTCCTACCCTGCACCGAGTTGCTAATTTAGTTCTTGATTCTGGAAAATCAAGTACTAAAATTAGCAACTTGTATTAGCTACTAAAATTGGTACTTTTAAAGAACACTAAAACCAAATGTAACTTTCTTTTTCATTACAAAAATTTACATAGCCTCTGCTCTACTGGAAGCGGCTTTTGGTTTTGTTATGTAAGATATTTAAAATTTATTTAATACCATTATCAACATTTTTTTCTTATTATGCACAAAAGAAAAAAAGATCGATTGGTATATAATAACCTGACAATCTTAGCAAAGCAAAAGGAACAATCAATAACATAAATTTTGTTTGAAATTACATAAGATATTGTTTTTCCTCAATTCCTAGGGCATATCAGTCTGTGGTACAGACCCCTTTTTATCAAATTATTAACATCCGCCTGAGACCTTGTGAATAGTTTCATCTCATTGTAACCTACAACTATTTTATTTACGAAAACTCTTGGAATTGGAGCGTTTTCAATCTGGAGAGGGGCAAATTAATTAGGTCTATTTAATTAGGTACTAAAAAGTTGTAAATACTTATTTGCTTTCTGCTTTGATCGTAAGATAATTTGATTAAAAAATTGATAAAATAGGTGGCCAACAAATATATTGGGTCGTTTGCCTTGTACAACTTTTGAAAATTTGTGATGTTGGTCACTCCAAACAGCTCAATATTTTTGAAGGTCACCATTTTTCTCGATTTTGTGATCAAATTATCTTGAAGTTGAAAGTAAATGAGTATTTACGAGTTTTTATTACCTAATTAAATAGACAAAGTTTGTCCCCTCCAGATTGAAAACACCCCAGTTCCAAGAGTTTTCATAAATAAAATGGTTGTAGGTTACGATGAGATGAAATTGTTTACGAAGCTTCAGGCGGATGTTAATGATTCAATAAAAAGAGGTCTGTACCACGGACTATATTGGCAAGAATCATGCGACATATTCTCGACGATTTAATATAGTTTGACCTAGTATTACCAAAACATGATTCATTAAAATCGGTGACCCCTACGTCCATTACGTTTTGTTAGTATAGAGTGATCCACAATATGCTTCAGTGATCAATTTTATCTCAGGGTGGAGGTGCTATATACCTCATGTTATGATCACTTACCATCTGTCTAATGAATGACTTCCTAAACAATGTTATGGTCTTATTATGATAACTTTGTAATGAAACAATATCAATTTATAAACATTTTTTTTTACTTTATTTTACCATGCTGGTTGCTAATGTATTTCAGAAGAAAAAATGAAATTGCTAAATGAATATGAAGGTGGTGATGAAAACACGAAATTAAGGCTTGAAAAGCGATATGGCAAAAAGCAAATACAACTGTTGCTTCAAGATGTTAAATCTGAATCCTGGATTTCGACCAACAGTAAGCCTTGCCCCAATTGCAACATTGCTATCGAGGTGAGATCTTATAATATTATTCAATTAAACACTATTGCAGGGTGTGTTCTTTTTGTTATGTTATTAAATTTTTCCAGAAAATTGATGGTTGCAACAAGATGGCCTGTTGGAAATGCAACACCTTCTTTTGCTGGCTGTGCCTTAGCGTGTTGGATCCACAGCTCCCTTATTATCATTTCTTGGATCCTCAATCGAAATGTCATTCTCAACTTTTTGAAGGAATATTCGATCATGGTAATCAGGATGTTGAAGAATTAGAAGATGATTTCATTGGGGATGATGATGAATATTATGAAGAAGACGAGGATGATGAGGATGCTGATTTTTACTTTGTGATATAGTCGAATGTTTAATTTGCCTTTATCTTAAAGCTACTCATCTCTGCTTTGTTTAAAAAAATCATGCTATTTGTTTTGTTCAGTGCTGTTCTCATGTTACGAAAGACACATTTATTTCCAGTCAGTGAAAAACAATAATGACAAAAATTAATTTTGAATTCATTGAAGAAATATTATAATGCTCCTTTTGAGATTAACTTAGCTGGTTGTAAAATTACTTTTCAAAAATATTTCTGGTTGATTTACTACTAAATCTGATATTCTCAAATTAAAAACGAACTTTTTTTTTTTTTGGCTCTTCAGCCAATTTGACAATATTTAATTGAAGTATGTGTATAATCGGTGTTGAATATAATATCATTGCAACATTTTAGAAAAAAAAGCTTATTTCATATTTGTATTCTTAGCCCACCCGTTGAAATATTTGTTTCACTTATTAATATTTTTATATAGTTATATATGGCTGTTTTTAATTTTTAAAAGATATAAATCAAACGGAACAGGACCTTCATATATTGTAATTCACTGATTTTCTTATTTTTTATTTTTATTTTAAATAATGTATGGCTCTTGACTTTGTAACGTTATCATTATGTACTAACATTATTATTGTTCCATAATTAGAATATGATGTGATAATGATAAGTAGACCTTGAATATCTTAGAAAAAAAAAATAATAATGGAAAGATATGTTGGTATATAATAGATATTAACCTAAGTTATCTTCTGGAATCAAGTGAAATCAGTTGTGATAAATTAATGACAAGTATTTATTTATATATCATTCACTTGCCAGTTGTTACTTATTTGTTACTCATTGTTTTGAAACAAAAGATGGTTAATATTTAGCAACAGAATTTAATTTATTAAAATACTCAACATCTACATATTTATCTCTGTAAAAGATCTTGATAATTTGTTGTTTTATTTGAAGAATTTTCTTTTTCTCAAATATCTTTATTTCATCTATAAGATTTCTTTAAATTGTTGTAAATCCATTACTATTTATTTATTTCTTCTTTTTTTCAGATATGGATAATAGTTATTATGTTTTCTTTTATTGATTTTATAAATAAACTGTTGTTATGATTTGTGTATTTTTTTATCTCACTTTCTACACTACTTTCCTCGTCTGATCTTTCCAGGATATTTAATTTTATTTGCTGATAATCAAATCTATTATTTTATAAAAGAATTTTTAATAGTAGAAAAATTTGATTTTTTTGATATTCATGAGATGGTCCTTAGACAGAGGAGTCAAGAAAGATGGAAGATTCATTGTATGCAAAGGAGTTTCCCTTAACTTAATTGAGACAACCCATAGGTTATGAGTATAAGCTGTGGGTTCTAAGAGGTATGTGTTATTATAAGAAACATTTCGGCAGGAACTTTCAACATTCAAATATTTGTAAATAATTTTTCATATAATTTGAATGAAATGAAAAAAAAATCCTTTGGTAATCCATTAAGTTCTTGCCAACATCCTCATTTTGGTAGAAATTAGAAGAGCCTTACCACAAACATGAAAAGAAGTACTTTAATTCAGGCCCTTTGGGAAGTATCCAGCATTAAAACCTTGTTTTTGAACTTTACACCCATTCCTCCCCAGTCTTGTATGCCCACTAAAATACTTAAAAATTTCTTAATTAATTAATAGAAATGGTTTCGTAAATTTAAGAAATCACATACTAATAATGGTAGTTAAATTGTTTATAGAACAAATGAATGTTTAGTTTTAAGAATATTTACAATCTTTGTAATCATTCATAATAACGATAGTGTATATAATATAGTCAAAGCCATACAAAACACTGGTTATTAGGAATAAAACAGCCAGTAATAATGTATGAAATCTCCTGCCCAGGAACTGTTAAAGGTTAAAGGCTTAAGAAATAGCTCATAATGTATAAATTCAATTGGTTATATAAAATATAGTTGGTGATCCTTTGAGCTGTCAGTTATAATGAACAAGAAGTGAGTGTAAATACCAAATGTAATCCATTTATAAAATAATTGCGTGGTGCGCGCATCACACAACTTTCACTTACCACCCTCTTAGCAGAAATAAATCCTTATTATATTAAGTTCATGTTAAGTATAGAAGCGTGTTCTAATCTTTTGGTCCAGCTCGGCCGCGCTCATTTTCCTTTGGTCCTTGCATTACAACTGTTCTCCGTTACGACCTCTTATTTCTCCTTTCCTTAATTATCAAATGCTTTCATATTTTATATTTAACTATCTTTTATATTAGAGATTAATGTAAAATGGTCATTTTTTTCAAATAAAAAAAAATAGAGGTACTTTAGGGAAAGCTAATATTGAAAATTAGCCATTTGAAGCCCGCCCAGAGAACATCAATCATAATAAAAACTACATTTTATTTAAAACTGCTTAATTTTACACCAATGTGATGGATTTAATCAAAATCAAAATCGTTATAGCCGTTTTCGAGAAAATCGTAAAAAATTGTCAAGTCCAATGTATAAAGTGCCACTTCCGGTGGGCTGATTTTGACGAAAAAGTTGCTGTAACATTTCTAGCATATAAACACCTTAAATATGCTATTTCACTTTCATACAACTTTTCGTTTCTGAGCTAGACTTACCACATAAATACATACACTCACACTCACAAACACAGACCATTTTGCGGGATTATTTGGACTCAGGGGACCTCAAAACGTGTATTTCCATATTTTGAAAACTCAGATTCGAAAATTTTCACGATCTCAATACTTTCCCTTACTATATATTTCATATATAGGTAAGAAAAATTGGAGTCTATGGCCTCACGGAGGATGAATTTCCCAAGTTACTGGCGGAGCAGAACTACCCGTATTACAAAGATTTTGTGTACGAGTAGAAAGCTGCTCTGTGGCCCTCCCACTTTAATCTGGGAAGAAGAGGACCTGTTAATGGAAGGCCTATAATACAGGCTAATATGGTGAAAATAATGAAAAAAGAAGATATTTGAAAAAAAAAAATTGACTATTAATTTGTGGTTTAATAGCAGGAATGGCATGCACGTGTGTGATATGGCATCCCTCCAAAATCCCGTGTAGCCGAAAGGCAGGGAAGGGAGGCATAAATACATAAATATACGTAAGTGAAAGTAAAAATTCAGATTTACATGTAGACGACACTGCCAGAATATATTAATGTAAATAAAATGTTGAGTGCAACTGAAATTTTGTTTCTTGGCTCTTGGGGAGCATTGAAATGAACCATCAATAAGTCCAGGATTTAATTTTAGTGGACTTGGGTTTCGTAAATAACTGTAATGGGCCAAAGAAAAAAAATTCCATTTTGGTGGGACTTCAGCCCCTTTCTCCTGGATCTGCCAATGGCACTAACGGATCCAGCATTTAATTTTAAGAGGGGGGCTTTAGTCCAAAAGGTTTTTTTGTTTGTATATATTAGGCTAATTACTTCGGAAGAAAGAAAGAAACTAACTAACTATATGAAATGGCATTTAAATTATTCTTTAAGTTCTATTAAATGTATTTAGACTAACAATTATACTTTCACAGATAATTATTTTCATTTAACATTGTTATATTTTACCATTTTTGGGGGGGGAGGGAGGAGTAAATCCGCCTGTGGTCAGTGGCAAGAGTCCTGACACAATTGTCTAGTATTTTTCAACCTATTATCTTTAGTTGAAATCAGTGATATGATTGTAAGAATTTCACCGTAAACAGTTCTTTTAAATTGTTTTTATTTATTTATCTATTATTGTATCCATTTATTGATGTTTGGAGAATAGGACCTAGAAAAAAACAAATATAACTTCTTACCTATTCACCACAGGGACCAAAAAACAAAATATTTCAGTTAGTTTCAAATTTTATTCAGTACAACTTTCTTCCTTCTTCGGAATTTTTTTAAAATTTCATTTATTTTAAATTTACTTATTCTGTTGGACATACTACAAAGAAAATCGGGATTTATGCTCCCAAATGTATCATATATCTCTACTTTAGTTCAAAAGGTCGCATATAAAATTTGAGTTTTAGAAATATTTTATTTTTATACACTATTTTTCATAGTTTCAGGCTACTAAATGTTACTTGTAACACAAATAAAGACAGCAAAGAAAATTGTTACATACGACCTTTCGTACTAACAGCACTACCGAACACTAGCGGATCCAGGATTTAATTTTTGGGGGGAGGGGCTTCAGCCCGAAAGCTTTTTTTTCATAAAAATAACGATAATTACTTTGGAAAAAAAAGAAAGAAATTAACTACCTGTATGAAATGGTGTTTAAGTGATTCCTAAAGCCCTTTTAATATTAATCACACGAACAATAATACTTTAAGAGATACTTTTTAAATATTTTTTTTGATAAAACATGGTTATATTTTTCCATTTTTTTGGGGGGGGGCTTCAGCCCGAAAGCCTCCCCCCCGTAAACCCGCCGGTGCTACCGGATCCAGGATTTAATTTTTGGGGGTAGGGGAGAAAGCTTCAGCCCGAAAGCTTTTCTTTTCATATATATAACGATAATTAATTTTTTTTTTTAAATAAAGAATTTAACTAGCTGTTCGATATGGCGTTTAAGTGATTCTTGAAGTCCTATTTAATGTAATTATATTTGCTTATATTTTACCACTTTGGGGAGAGGGGGCTTCAGCCCGAAAGCCCCCCGTAGATCCGCCTGTGACTAACAGTAGCTATATGAGTTTATCTTTTGCAATTAGCGACATGTTTTCTAAAAGTTTATTTACGTTTATTTTTGTTGATTATGTTAACGCTTAGCCATAGGTGAAGAATAAGATAGTGAAGAACTATTGGGATTGAAATATTTTAAGTAGAGATTTCCTGGTACCAGGAAAATTTAGTTTGTTCTTACCCTTTTTTAAAAAATTCTTTTCAAGAATCTTAAACATTTTTACGAATTAAATAAATAAAGATCCTGCAATAGGAATATGGTGTTCGTTCAGGAAACTTGATAATTATTGCTCTTAGATTGAATAGACAACACTGTCTTATAAACTAAGAAGTACAGTCCATAAACGAAATAAAAGAACGATAAAGTACTAAATCCAATATTGGCTAACGATTTCTGAAGCCTTGAGAAGTCAGTAGAACTACTCCAGTTAGGAACCATGAGGTCTTCACGTAAGTGTCCATTTTGATGTTAAACAGATAATTATTATTTAATTATTTTATAAGTTAAACGTTCGTTCCTTACAATTTCTTAACTAAACACAATCTGAACTAGTTTTAAGTTTAAAGGTAATTTTCTATAACGCATTTATTGCATTCGAATGTTTTTTAATTCAATAAAAATTCAATGAACTGTAATGAATATTTATGAAAACATCCCAGAATAAAATTAGTTACACTTTACTGTAGAAGTGGAAATAAGCAAAATAAAAAAGTATTTACAAATTTTGGTCACAGAAGTTAATTATAATTATCATAGTCAACAATATTCTAAATAATAAGGTCTATTATGTAGCAACTCTATTAGCAATCAACATAATATGGATACTTACCAACTAATTGGTCCATGCAAATATTCCGCATAGCAAATTATTCAGTGATCAAGTGACAATATTAATGGAATTGCAATTTATTATTATTAATTACGTGAGAGAATAATAATTTTTTCTCCCTATTTTACTATAGTGGTTTATATCAACGTAATACACCAAAACGTGTTAAAATGGTCCGATTTCGAAATCTTTGTTTTTCGCTATGTATGGAATTTAGAAAATTTTCAAATTATTATAACCATGAATTGTATACTTTCTGTTTTATTCGCTAATAAACTCCTTTTCGTCATGACATTTTTCTCTGACTTTTCTGGAAAACGTATTTTTGACATCAGAATGATAATATTTAAAATGACGGCTCAATCATTGGATTTGATGAAGAATCGACGAAGTTTTGATGTACCGACAAAATCGAACCAACATTTATTTTTTAAACTAGTTCCCATGTTTCTAGTATTTTGATGATTAGTTATAACTAAATATATTTAGTGGCTTAAATTTGTCTGAAATCGGTAAGAAAGTTGTGTTAAGTCCAACCAAATTAATAAAATTAACTTGAAAATAAATTAAAGGCAATGTCAAGAAAGATAGTGATAGGCCCCCACCTTGAAATTTGAGTTGTAGAGCAAAGACACTCCATGCAATGTCACCATTTATTTAAATTAAAAACCTGGTGCGTCCACTCACATGTCTTTTCTATCGATTTAAAACATTTTTAGTTTTATTTACCTATATATGTATTAAATGGCTAAGTATTGCGATCGTGAAAATTTTCGAATCTGAGTTTTCAACGGAAATAAACGTTTTGTGGTCCTCTGAGTCCAAATAACGAAATCCCGCAAAATGGTCTGTGTGTGTGTATGTATGTGAACAGCATAGCTCAAAAACGAAAAATCTTATGAAAATGAAATGGCGTATTTGAGGTTTTCATAAGCATTGGATGTTACAGCAACATTTTAGTTAAAAGCGACAAACCGGAAATGTTACTTTATATAATCGATTTAACACATTTTTATGATTTTCTCAAAAAACGCCTCCAATGATTTTGATTAAACTCAGTATATCGGTGTATTTTTAAACAGTTTTTAATAAAATGTAGGTTTTATTCTCATTTATATTCTCTAACGGGGCTTAAATAGCTTAATTTTTAATATTAGCTGCCTCTAAAATACCTTTAATTTATTTTTATTTTAAATAATTAACCATTTTAAATTAATCTTTAATACAAAAAATAGTTAAATATAAAATATGAAAAGAATTTGATAATTAACTGAAGGAGAAATAAGAGATCGTAACGGATAATAGTTGTAATGGAAGAACCAAAGGAATACGAGCGAGCCGAGCTGATTCGAAACATTACAACAGGCTTCCAAACGTTACATGAGCTTGATATAATACGGATTCCGACAATATTATGCACATATAGATATGCGGTTTTCGTAATGCTATCGTTGGTATTATTTAATATTTAATTGTAAAGAATACAGCGATATAAAAATTAAAATATGTCTATATAAGGGTATTTAAACAAATAAAAAGACCCACAATTAAATGTAAATCAATATAGCATCTATAATTTTTACTTACACTTCCCCTTTTTCTGAAAATACTTATTTCTGCTAAGAGAGCGGTAAATGAAAGTCGTGTGATGCGCGCACCAGATTTTTTTTCAATTTTATATGAGTTAATTAAAAATAACACAAATGAATTAGACTAATTTTCCTGATAATCGATCAGAAAAATCATTAGAGTACAGTTTCTTTGACGAACTTAAGCAATGTAAACGGGCAAGTTAACAACTATAAAAATCAGTGTAACGTTGCTACACTGTAACATTGCTAAAACTGGATCGATTAAGACGACTTTATTTATATTTTTGTCGAAATTTTAAACATTTTAAAAATATCACCATTACATAATATAGAGATATTACTATCATTCTCAGAATGGGGAAACCTGACTAAGCCCTGGATGAAAAATTGGAAGAGTTAAATGCATAAGGATATTGGATCTACCAATTCTACACATATAGTAACTAAAATCGTTAAGTATTAAGGCCGGTCCACACGCTCCGTTTTGCACAACGTTTTGTCTGACCATTCTTAAGACGGAATGAAGACGTTGCAATTTTTAGATCATCCACACGGCACAGACATATCTGTATATTTTGCTCAGTTTTGTGTGAGATCGTCATGGAGAAGGTACTACTCTGGTCGATGTGTCTTGTTAAAAAAAAAAGATTGGAACATCTCAGAAGTACCCGGCGATCAAAGTGGTCGCAGAAGTGGCTTCTAGAAAGGTAACACTTATCCCATTCCAAATTATTGCATGAATTACGAGATGAACCTAATGATTGGCCAAACTGCTTACGAATGGACATTGACACATATACTTCTTTATTGGAATTAGTGACACCGCATATCAACAAAGAAAATACTTGAGATGGCTTGTACATTTCGTCTTCTCCAGCCCCGGATCGAATCGATTTATTTATTTTAGCCAATTCTTTTCGGTACACACTTCTCAAAGAATTTATTTTTTTCACAATTGTCTCCCGGTTTGCCGTTGCTTCAATTCCTTTAAATTTATTTGCTAAAATTTCATACACCTCCCCCTTCTTATCCCTGTCACTGTATTCTTTTGATTTAACACGCCAAATGCTCGGGAAACTTTCATACAGAGCAATAAAATCGGTTAAAAACTCCCAAGAACATTGCCGAAGGTCAGCCATTGTCGCCTGACGAATTGAAACTGAGCAATAAAATGAATCGGGAAATGGTGCTACCGTCCACATGCGCCGACTTGTCTGCGCAGTTCAAGGAAATCTATGTTTTACTAAAACTGTACCGTCATCGAAATGGATTCAAAACTGCACAGTTTTTCCACTGTCCACACGCAACGTTTTGAAATGCGTAGATAAAACGTTGTGCAAAACGGAGCGTCTGGACCGGCCTTTAGTAACCGTTTTGCCTTCATTTTTATTCACAGAAACGTTTTTATTTCTCTTGCAAAAGCAAGACCAAGACTGATTTTGGGCAACACTAATACCAGATATTAAAGTGGTACAAGTTAGTAACACTCAGGCATTTGAATAGGAAATTACCCAGATTTAAAAAAGATAACACGGATGTGTATCATTTTATTTAGATTTAATATCTTGGTGCTGAAGACTAATTGGATAAATAAGTTTAGATGGATGGTATAATGTATAATATATTATGTTTCAAAAATCTAAGGACTATACTTGATAATCCAACAGGGCCAATCGTCGGAGGATACCGGTACGAGGACGGGAGCCGCTACTGGGGGGAGTGGAACTCGAAAGGCCAACGCCATGGTACGGGCGCACTCAGGCTTACTGACAAGTCCTTGCTCCAGTCTGCCTTCTGCGAGGACCTGGCCACTGGGCATGGTGTTCTCACCTTTCCTGATGGCGCTAAGTACAATATTTTTATACAATTACAAATGAGTCAATAAGATAGCAGGGGTGCCCTTCCCTCCCACCCCCCAAGATCGATGGCGAAGAACGAACTTCCCTCCCACCACCACCTTCCCAGGATATTTTATTGTACACCTTTTCTTAAAAAAAGAGCAAGGACAGAACAAGAGAAAGGAGAATTTTAAAAAATCGTAGATAATACACAATTACTCTTTCCGATGTCTGTTCCATATTTTCCCAATACGACTTATTCTGAAACTTATACCGAAAATTCATAATCCTGTTGAGCTGTCCCCCCTCAAAAATTTAAAAACCCGTCAAAATAAGCCACTTCAAAATTTTTTGTGGCGCAACTTCGTTAAATCCCTTGCTGGGCACCCCTGCTTAGTAGGGGAGAAGTGTTGGGAAAAAAGCAATAAACTATTTTAATATAAGCTACATGATATACAAAATAAAAAAAATAAAAAAATACCTCACTCATTTTTATTGATCTTTAGCTATTGCCTTCCATTTTTCTGTATGTAGCTCTGCATATACTATGTTTATTCCAATCGACCTTCTGATTTTTGGACTCCATCTGGGATCTCACCAACTATTGAATCATTCATTATTGTGTAGTGGTTTCCTGATGAATTGCTCTGAACCACTTGTCCTACCCTTCTTAACCTCCTTGCCTTCCAATCACAAAAATGATTGAGCAGTTTTTCATTGCTCCTTCTCCTCCATGCGTTTAAACACCGGTTATTTTGCACAGGATTTTTTCTCTCGATGTTTTCATTACTTCTTTCAAGGGTACTGGTCAGTGACCAGGTCAAGCAGGCGTATATGAGAACTGGCTTCATCATAGCATTATATACCCTTAATTTGGGATTTATAGATTTTTTTGGGGAATCGCAGTATCTTTGAAAGAGAGAAGAAACCTCAATTGCGCTTTTTGTCCGCTGGCCGATTTCTGACCACTGATCATTCATTGGGGTTATTGCAGACCCAAGAAATATGACTACTCTTGGGAAAAATTTTCCTCCTTCGCCGATCTTGTTGTTAGGATGAAATTTCGTGCTTACTATGATATGTCTTGTTCTATCTTCAGTCTTCGTTCTGCTTCTCTGAATGGGTCTGTGAATATTCTCTTCATTGCTTTCAAGGACCTTTATTTGATCTGCATATCTAAGGATTTTATGATTCATTCGAATGATCTCCCCTTCATTCTCCAGAGATGTTCTTATCACTTTCTCCAACGCTAAGTTGAACAGCTTCGACTAGAATCCATCTAACCAATTCGAACTTTGAAGGCTTCAGATATTTTTCTTGTATCATGAATCCACATTTAGGATCTTGTACTCACTTTTTTCAGTCTCACTAAATTCAGGGGAACTCCCAGCTCAGCCATGATCATCCAAACACATTTTCTGTCCACAGAATCACTTGTCCAACCACAATATACGCATAGTTTATTGTATCATTCCAATAATCATTAAATGGATTAAAAAATACAAATAAAAATCTTTTTTTTTATATATCTTTTACTTTACATTACAACCAAATGAATTGTTCCCAGATACGAAGGAGAAATATTAAATGGTTGGTTTCATGGCTATGGAGTCTTCTGGAGAGCAGATGGAATGAAGTATGAAGGAGAGTTCAAAGGAGGAAGAGTTTGGGGCTTAGGTATAAAGTTTAATTCTATAATACAATTTGTAAGAAAAGAAAAAAAAAACGCTATTTCAATATATTATTTTAACAAGAAACCTTTTATAGGTCAGTAACAATTCAGGCGCAGTAAGGTAATGATATAAATATAAGTTTAAAGAATAAATAATAAAAAGAAAGTTATTATACATGTTTAAGATTATATATTTATTTTATTTTTTTTTTTTTGTTTTTTGGCTTTAAGACTTGTAAAAGCAAGTCCTATTTTGCAGTAAAATATTTTATTTGCCATGGTGAGATGAAATTACGGTTTTTAGACGGAAATTACACTGGATTCATATTAATTATTTATAGTTAGATGATAAATGAAAGTAACTTATATGTGTCTTGGACCCTCCAAGCATTGGCATGTCGGGCAGTGACCGCTCATAGCTAGACCCATTAGATGAAGATATTTATTTCTTCTACCGTGGTTTATCCTAAGCCTGGTCAGCTTCACTAAGCTGGAGCGATCGAGATGAGATTTAATGTGCCTATTTATAATATATAAATCTAAGAATTGACTATTATTCTTTTACAAATAACAGTAATTGATTAAACAAAGTGTTGCAATGGCTCATATATTGATTTGAAAATCTAAATTGGGGTGTGCAGGCTTATTTCCACTATAATAATAATAGACAGTGTGATCAGCGGTGCTTAGAATGGTTCCATGGCGTAAAATACTAGTGGTGTAAGGTGGAATATTCAAATAAAATATTGGAGGGAGAAATACATCTCCCAATATGGATCGAGGTCTACTTAAATAGCATGATAGTTAACGAAAGTTTTCAAAATTACCACTACACCATATGATCATGCTGTAGTACTAATGTGGTATACAATTTATTTTTTATTACAATATATTTTAAAAAAGTAATTATTTTCTACATCTTATAACATGACTCCTACTTCGACCAACTGCCTCACTTAATATTTTAGAAATCGATGGCATATAAAAAGTAAACAAGGTTCATTTTCCTTCATTGAAACCTGCTAAAAGTACTCTATATCCAGGTTATAATCTGTTTACAGAGAATTTAAAATGAAGGTAGAGATAAAATAAAACATTAGTTTAATAAAAGATGATAATTAATATTTATAATTTAATATTAATTAATATATTTAAATGATATGATGAACCAAAAAATATTTATACAATTTAGTATTTAAAAACCAATTACAAAGAAGTTCCTAAATTATTGTTATAGAAAACAAATAAAAAAACATTAATGTTGGACTTTTATAGTTTAAGAACATAGCTAAATTAATATTTTTGTCATCACACCCTACGGAACTAAGTGGTAGTCTTAATATGGCCCGTCGGTCAAAGTTTGAAGAGAGTGGTGCTGGACTGTCTAGGTTTCCTAACAGTAACATCAACACAAGTATAAACTAAATATATCTTACTACTGAACCTATTGACTAACAACAGAAAATTAATCACACTAAGTTGTGGACAATCAATTAAATAAGCATTATGTCGACACCCAAGCACTTTAATCAACAAAACACACAATACGAGGGGAAAAAAAATTCGTACAAATAACAACGCTTATTAGGACAAATAATAGGTGATAGTTTAAGAAAAATTGATCAAAATAATGCAATGACAATGATTCATGCAATGCATAACAATGCATGTACATATTTCGTGGACATAAGTTTGAGAACTGCAGAAATGCGAAAAGCATGCACACCCTAGCAACTACTGAACAGTGATGTGTACACTTAATTGAGAACTAATTTATGTTAAAAATACTTCAACATGTAATAAACTTATAAACTGTATATAAACTTCAAAATGTAAACTCCATCAAAATTTTTGAGGAGGGTACATTTCGATGGGGCTATGTATTTTTGAGGGAGGCACATTTCGACGGGTTATGTATTTTTGAGGGCGGTTCATTTCAATGAGGTTATGTATTTTTGAGGGAGGCACATTTCGACGGGGTTATGAATTATCGGAATAAAAAGTTTCCAATCAGAGGACAAGGGGAAAGCAAAGAACAGAGCACTGCACTCTTTTTCAGAAGAGAAGAGCAATAAAATGTAATAAAAGGTCAGTTTTTGTGCTATCGACCTTGAGAGGGATGGGCACACCTGACTGCGATAAAACTTCTCAGAACTCTTGTTCGGCCATTTTACAAATTATTATCATGAAGAATTTTTTTTCCGATTGATATTGATAAGATTAAATAAAAAAATTCTTTCATTTTTTAAGTAAAAATATTTCTAAAAATTACAGCGACGGCGATGACTTGTTCTACAAGAAGAAGAATTTTTATAGTTCAACTTATTCGGTGATAGAAATCTTAAAAGCGCGATCCAATACTTTCTATAAGTGATTATCTATTTAAACTTGTTTTCATTCAGCTATAAATATTATATCCCTTTTTGTTATATAACATTAAATATAGAGCATGAATAAATCAAATAATATACACTAAAAACCATAATTTCTCACGAGGAAATAATCTATTTGTTTCTGAAGGAAATTTACTGATAACAGATACCGCTCTCTTAATTATACACATCCATCAGGCGGTGGTAGACGCTATTTATTACCATGTTGTAGATAGAGACATATAATTTATTTTGACAGCCTTTTGAAGGACCGATTCCAATTAGGAAGCTCGTTCCATAAGGGCTTATGTCAGAGGATAGTTTTACTAACCTAGATCCTAGAGTTGAAACACTAGGCGGCGCAATCCGATAATTACTCAAGCCATGGCGCAGACCAAATTTGTATTTATGGAAAAATAAATTGCGTCAAAAGAATAACAAATTATTTTTTCTCGTGTGTTTTTTTAAATTAACCTAGATTCTAGTTGTGAAACGCTAGACAGCGCAACCAAGCATATATCAAGTAAAAATTAAACGAATTCTTTTTCTTGAGAAAATTGTTTTAAAATGAATTAGTGAGGAGTGTATTTTCAGGATATGTGCGTAATATTACTATTATTAATGATGCAGTGTTCGCGCGTCCCGGTGCCAAGAAGGTCTTTTAACTCTGGCATAGGGCGGGGTGGCCGAATAGGCTAAAGCGTGTGCACAGCATCGCTAGTTGCCTGGCATAACAGAGATAACAGAGATTTGAGATGATATAAAAAGTACGAGTTCGCGTCCCGGTGCCGGAGGGGATTTTAAATTCCCGCCATCACCCCCCGGCCCGAGAAAATCCCGTATTGCCGAAAAGGCGAAGTAGGGAAGAACAAAAAAAAAAAAAAAAACTCTGACATAAAACCCCCTCCCACTCTTACCCCATGGCCCGAGAAAACCCCCGTGAAAACCGCCTCAGAGGCAAGAAAGAGGATAAAAAAAATAAGTTCCGATTTTTAATTTCTGAGCTATTTTAAATTTTAGTCCATATCTTCAATAAAACTCGATATAATTTGGTTTTCGACACTATTCTTTTCTTTTTGCCTTACTAACACGGCGTCGCTCCAAGCTACAATTTTGAATAATAGTTCATTACAGAGCGGATGAAACGCTGAACAATAATTCATTCGTTATTAGTATGCAGGTCCAATTTTGAGTTTCTGAGATATTTTAATCCACATCATTAATAAAACTCGTTATCATTTGGTTTTCAATACTATTTTTTCCTTTTCCCCTCTGTAACACGGCGTAAAATTTTGAATAATAGCTTATTACAAAAATAATGAAATGATGAACATTTCCCTCGCTAACAATATGCAGGTCTGATTTTTAGTTTTTGAGATATTTGAATTCATATGCAAAAAACACTTCAATTAATCGACTTCATCCCACTGTACTCGAGCGCTACACATCGGAAATTTGACGGCTGAATCCTATTCACTCTTAAAATAAAAGTGCAAAACGTGCTTAAAGAACTTTTTACTTCAAAAATTGATTTAATAAAAAGTATATATATATATATATATATATATATCGTTTTTATATAGTAAATAAATAGTACAAATTTTGCTAGTTTTTACTTGACTCAACGCCAGGATATTTTCATCAAACTTTAATTTTTAATCACACTTATATCGTTATATAATTTATTTAGTCCTTACATTAACATATCGGGGATTTTCACCAAATTTTTGGTGGATTTTTGCCAGGATATTTTCACCAAACTTTAATTTTTAATCACACTTATATCATTATATAATTTATTAAGTCCTTACGTTAACATTACATTAACATATCATATATCGGGGAGTGGGGTAGCTCAGTGGTAGGGTACTGAGCTTCTAATGTTAAAGATCCCAGGTTCGAATCCCAGCTCATGGCAGAAAATTTATTTATCTGATTCATTTGCCATGGGACGACCCTTCTTTGACACACCCAGCCTCTATAAAGTGAGTACCCTTAATTACAAAATTAATTAAGGGGGAACCTGGCGGTTGAGCGTGATCTTGGTCAAATCACCTCCTTCCACAACCGTTGACCTAGAAACAGTGGTTTCCCCAATTAGTACTGAACTCTAGACCCTTCGTGGGTTGTAGTGGTACAGGTTTACATTAACACAACATTCTGACATTAAATTCTTTCTTTCTTCGAAACGCTCGTCGAATTTTCTATGCATACTCAATGATAAATATTTATACAAAGTTTTTGAAAATACTAATGTTTACATATATGTGTGTATTCCGTAAATCTATAGTGTGAATAAAATAAAAAAATGAATAAAGAAAAAAATTGAACATTTTTATAGATTAAAAAATTTGAACAAAACTGTTTTACTTATTAATTTTCATAATAATGATTATATTTTAAATGCTCACGAATTAAAATGCATTGGAAAATGCATGAACGTTTTTGCTCTTGAAACTTTGTAAATGTAAGAATTAATTTAACCTTTATTATTATTATGGTTTGTTTAGGTCTTGTGACTTTCCCAGATGGCAATCATGGTTTTCCAAGGCACGAAGGATATTTTCAAGACTGCAAGCTGATGATGGGGAAACGTTGTCCAGACGTAATACAAAGAGCACAGAAAGCAGCATTCATGGCCAGAATTAGAATTAGAGAAGAAATTTGAGCTACTATGATTATTATTATTATTATTTGTAAGTGTGCCTATTACGGTTTTCAATAAAATGATATTTGAGAGAGTAATCATGACTAAGTTGATAATAAATTTGTGCTGTTTCTATTGTAGTGATTTGTTTCATCCTCTTAACTATTAGTAAACATTTGCTAAAAACTACAAACATACAACATAGTAAAAAAAAACATAGTAAACATTAGACAAAACCAAATAACAATATAACAAATTAATTGGAATCTATTCAGAACAGTGTTATTATTAATAATACATTTTTTAAAATGTTATATACCAATGTATTATATAAATACATCTAGTAAATTTGAACATATGGGTATAATGATATGAAAACACTTGCTGAGTAACTACCCCATGGTAGCACTCTAATGATATGTCTACATTAGGAGATCACGGGGCCATCTTTTTTTCAGACGCCTCGGAGGGTTATCAGGAATTTAAGATGAAGCAAGGTTAGAAACGAGAGGATTGGGATGATTCTGAAACAAAAGAAACATTAATGTCATTATGGATGGTTTTATTTGTAACAAAGTAGGCAGCATTGAGGATTTTACGAAGGATTTTGGATTGTAAGGATTGGATACGAGAGGAATTCGATGGTTTAGTGGAGCCCCGTAGCACAACTCAGTAAGTCCAATTAGGCCTTATTATAGTCATGTAAATGAGTCTTTTGTAATTAATTGGAAGTTTAGAGAGTTTGTCTAGTAAGTGCTGAAGTAGTCGGAATCGTCGAGCGGTTTCTTATCGTTTCAGTCTGGTATGAATAATTCATTTAAAACCTAACCGTACTAGATAAAACTAAACGCACTTAACAAACACTATGTCGAATCTATTGGATCTATTTGATATGCCTGATCTGTCTCTCTGTTCTGAAGTTATAGTGCGGTAATATTTATACAAATTTATGAGTTTGTAGTATTCGCTCTACCGATAAGAGTTCCCTACGGAGATACCTGGAAATCTTTCGTTCTCTTCAGTTCTTTCGAAATTATAGAGTTGAGTTGTGGGAACTTGATATCCATTTCTTACAATCACAAATGCTTTTTAAATTCTTAAAAACTGATTTATAAAAAATATAGGCATAATGTTCCTAAGTTGCTGACTTTGCTCCCAAAACATACTTATTAACAGGAGTCCACAGAAAGGCCTTGTTGATAAGTATTCAGGATTTCCAGTAAGTAGAGAGAAATATTTAAAAGGTCAATAGCAGACATCAAGAACTACAAAAAAGTTCATATAAACAATTTCCCAATTTTCAGCAGAGCAGTAGGAAATTTGTGTTGTTTTTTTAAGCGAGTCAGGTTTTTTGTTGATATGGGAGAAAAACACAGTTTCTTAATTGCTTTACTAAATAAATATTTGAATAAGAATTATTTTAATTTAATTATTATGAGTTTAAGGTAATTATATTTATTACAATACAGCCCATATCATGGAAAAACAAAAAATAAAAGCTTTACAACAGTAAATTGTGGTCATTTTTGCAGAAAACACGGCTACTTTTAGGTGAATTGATAGAAATTATATCATTCCTTTAAAGAACTTGAGATGAATCTTAAAATTGTTCCTGATAAACCTCAACTTAATGAAAATGGAGAGTTTATTAAACGAGAAAGTTTTTCTAAAAGTGGAGTAAATGTAATACAGTTAAAGGGTGGTAGATAAAAATCACAAATAATTTATGACATTTTTTTAAACGAAACTTAGCTGCGTTTGTTCGCTCAATAGTCCCCTATAAACATTTTTAACAATAACAAGCTCTACTTGTGAGCCATATCTTTGAGGAGTGTACTCGCTACAGGAGAGAAATGGAAAGACGTGGTGTACCTCGTCAGCTCTGTGAGGCCTAACAGATAACGAACAACGTATGGATAGTACCATTCAATTCATTAAGAACATAGGGCTAATTCAACTAATCTGAACTAAATTACTTCTTCTCACAAATTTCGATATATTCACTTTATTTCTATAAACTCTATACTTTTTTTTTTTTTTTTTTTTTCTCCTCGATAGTAATTTATGTATATATTTTTTTTATTCCTTTTTAAAACATATTTATTTTTGTAATAGTAGTTTTAAGATTGAAAAATAAATCAATCAGTACTATTTGAGGGCAATGATAAATATCAGCAGTTTTTTGCCCCTAAACCCAAAACAACAACAACAACAAGCTCTACTTCTATCTAAATTAAATTTTGTCTAGTTTACTATGGAGCAATTTTTAATTACTTAAATCAAATATTTTCTAAGTTATCGCTTCCTATTCAACAAAAAACGTGACTCGCTTAAAAAAAACACAAATCTTAAATTTCCTATTTTTTCTGCTGGAAATTAAGCATTTGTTTATATGAACTTTTTTTTAGATCTTGGTGTTCAAAATCGACCTTCTAAAAATTTCCCCTCTACTTACGGAACATCCTGTATAATGGAGCATGGAGCAGAATGAGCAAATCTTTTTAAGGAGGCACGTTGATTTTTGGAGGAAACCATATCTTTGTGGAATTTCCATTTGAGGGAACTAACCAATGAAGAAGGGAACAAACCACAGCAAGGGAGTGTAATTATAAATGAACTACTTTTTTATAATGATATTTTCACTTACACAGTTTTTAAGAATAAAATATTTGGGGAGAGTGGTGGAGGGGAACGGGAAGAATGTACATCCTTTATTGTATGGGCTACATACCAACACAAACTAACAAAGTTTTTGAGTTTCCTTCCTGAATTTTTATTAAAAATCTTTCAATGTGTCTGAAAAAAAAAAAAAAAAATACCATCGCGCCCTTCTAACATAGAATTAATATGAATCTTACCTTTATTTAGTTTCTTTACAATTTACCAAGTCATGTTAATCGTGCAGCATTTTTATTTATAGAACATTTTAATTCAGGTGGGAATATCAGTAAATCTATGAAATATACCTCATAGTATATTTTGAAGTATCCATTGACTAGGTTGTGTTAGGGTAGGGTCATTTTTTTAAGCGTACTTCCTTCCTGAGGCAACAATGTGTTGCGTGCGACAAAAGTGCACGGTTTGAGGTCACGAATTGAGGTTCCATTTATTTGTTTAGTTGCAGGCTGGTGGGTGCACAATCATGAACACACAGAGAACTGCTGAGGTTAGAAAAATTATAATATCGTACTGAATTATGGCGTAGTTTTTCGTTTGAATAATTTTATATTGAGATTTTTCATACATAAATAAATAAGTTACATAAATAATATGTATTAAGGATAAATTATTTAATATAAGATATTAATATGTAATTAATCTTAAATATTAATCATAATGAGAAAATATAATATTTTTCCTGTAAAATTAATCCCTAAATAAGTAAAACAAAATTTAACATTTTGACTCAGGCAAATGTGAGACATCAAATTCGCAAATTATATCTAATTCTCTGGTATTAGTTCTGATAAGAGATTCCTCCTCTTGTTGAACCTGACCAGAATCCTTCCACAGTAGTGCGTCACCCTCGAGTTCTCGTCGAAGGTGAGCTCTCGGGGTGTGGTCGGATCCAATTCCAGGTCGTACGCAGAGATCACTCGGGCTAAGACGTACTTTAGTTCCAGCATGCTGAATCTGACTGCTGGAAAAGGTGAGAAAGGAAATAATCATTTTAAAGTGCAATAAAGAAACAAGTAAAAAGTTGCTTAAAGTAATGATGATAATTGTAATAATAATAATAATAATAAAACTTCACTGATCGTCCAACAGCATAATTTAATAACAAAACTTTCTACTTATTTCTGTATAACAGAATTTTTAGTTAAGATTTCGTCTTCGTAAAAAAGTGCTCGTCGTTTCCAATTAATTAAATGTTCTGAATTAACACTATTTATTATCGATTTATTAAATAAAAAATAAACCTACAATCAAACCACTTCGAATTTATAAGTTATCAAGCAGCTTATAAGTTGTGGAATCCTTACAATCTAAACCTTCTTAGATTCCAAAACACGTAGTTCGTTGCTTTTAATTGTTGAGGGACAACTAAATAAGCAATAAATTACATAGATGTTAAGAGAACTGTTATATATTCCACTTTATGGTAATTAGCAATGATTGCATCCTTACCAATACATTTTCTCGGTCCATCGCCGAAAGGAAGATATGTTCCAGGAATGATGTTGACTTTGTTCTCTGTGGAGAACCTTTCGGGGTCGAACTTGAGAGGATCGTCATGGTACCTAGGGTCTCTGGAGAGGCAGAAACCTGGTATCAAAACTTCTGTACCTTTTTCCAAGACGATGTTGGTACCTGGGATCTGATAGGGCTTCGTACATATTCTGGGAGTGGCGTAATCAGCTGGATACATCCTCATACTCTCTGTAATTTTTTTAGAAAAATCACAAAAATTCACCATAAAAATTAGCAATAAATTTGTATTTATTCAAATATACCTTGAATGATTTGGGTTAGGTAAGTAGCTTCTTGGAGCGCTTCATAGCTAAAACATCCGTGCTTTTCCAACAATGGATCGAGTTCTTTTCTTGCTTTCATTAAAACCTCTGGGTTCTTAGACAGTTCGTAAATACTGGTTGAAAGTGCAAAACATGTAGTCTCAAATCCAGCAACATAAAAACTGAATACTTGTGCTGCAACCATCCCATCTCTCTCCTCCTCTGCTTCAACAATCAATAATAAAATTTAGATTATTATAAACAACTAATTATATCAATACTAAAATTTGAGTGCTGTCAGTGGGTAGTTTCTCAACAAGAGATTTCATGTTATTATATTCCTGAGGGCACATTTACTAGTTGTATTTTTTTATAATACAGTTATAAATACAATTAAAAAAATACTGAAAATAATAATTTCGCTTCAGGATCAATTAAATAATACAAATGAAGCAATTGATTTTATCTCTTGGAAATGTTTGCTTCCGTATATATTTAATATATCAAACTCCGATAATACAACTTTTATTACCAGACCTCCACAATATACTTGACATTCCAACAATCCCAGAATTTATGAGAAGGAGACCTATCAAATTCTTGGATTCATTGAAATATCAAAGCAATCCTCTATTGCAAAACTACATCAATGGCGGCCAAACCAGTGCGTTGGCGTTGGCAGGAAGCAATAACAGGAAAACTTGAACGATTGCAATTTAAAACTATCGTTTCCCAACACATTATCCAGAACTATACATTATTTTACTTCATGATTATAAAAATATAAACACTGGCTTAAAATCTAATCCAGTTACAACTAAAATAAATAATTTCTGAAAACAAATATTTTGATGAAATAAAATTATTTCATTAGCATTTCGAATTTATTGATGATGTGAAACGAATGAAAGATATTTATTTTGATAAAAAAACGTGGAAACCTTTTTGGTATTTTAGCCTCCATTTTGATCAACCCACATGATAGAGATCAAAGTTCAACAGAATTATGACCGAATATGTCAGCATTAATAAAAGTTAAAATTCTACAGTTATATCTTATATAATAAACGATGCAGAAGGTAGAATTATATTTTAAGGTACTGGATAGCTACTAACATACTAATAGATGTCTAAACTTAAATCTGTATTAGTAATTTAAAATGCTATTCATATGATAGATAATCATATGCTGTACGATCTCACAAAAAAAGCACCTAGAGCAGTGATTTATGAAAAGTTTAGCTGTATATGAAGAATTAAAACTTTCCAGGACTACGGGGGGGATGGGGAGGGGGGCTACTTTGGTGATTTGAGAATTAGAGAAATATGTGATAGAGAGAGATGGATGGCGGCTGTTGAGTAGCCCAAGAGCAGCTTCATGCGCCAGTTGTGCCATTAAAAGAAGAAGAAGTTATAGATATGTTAGGAGAACATTTGAAGAAAGACTGCTGGTTGCAAACAAGTAGTGATTCTTCAGTTAATAAAAAATATTCTTATCTGCAGGATAAATAAGTAACAGGTTAAAGTTTTAGAAATTTAAAAATAATGGCGTCTGGATAGTTCCCTAAATTCATTACGCAATGGACTTATTTTGTATGAGGATTCATCGAGAATAAAATAAAAAAATATCTATACATCCTACAACTTCTTGAAGGGTTTTGGGCTCAGTACTTTGTAGGGAAGTACAGTTTCTTGGTCTAGGGATGTGCAAAGAGGTGATTCGACCGAGATCACGCCCAACTCCCAGCTTTTTTCACCTTAATTAATTATTTAATTAAGGGTATACACTTCATTGTTGAGTGTGGCCCAGGAGGATTTCCAGATTCCAGGGTCGATCCAAAGCCAACGAAACAGAATAAATAATTTAACGAGCATTAATCGGATTCGAACTTGGCACCTGGAGGCTTGGACGCCAGCGAATATATTATAAATATTCTATTTTGAACAGTTAAAGCGTTACAAGACTACGGTATCAGAAGAATCTTAGTATTCTATTGAATAAAAAGGTGAAAAAAAAGTAACAGAGGATATTTGATTAAGAATAATAATCATATTAAAATCGTTGTTTGGAAGATGATGCATTTAAGAGACTGAGATGCTCCTCTAAAATAGAATAAATAGTTGCTACGTTATATTTCGTCATTTAAGACCATTATAAGAACATTTTTCATGTTGATGCAATTTAATTTCTTTATAGACAAATTGTGTCATGCATTGCCGGCCTTAGATATTTGGCGCCCGGTCAATGATGACATATTCCCTCTAAAAAAAAATTAATTTATTTCTTAAGCTCTTTCGTGTTATGTAATATTTGAATTTTATTTTATTGCATTCAACATTTCTCTAATGCGGTTGGTTAATTGATAGAATACAATTAATAATTTGCTGGTACCATGCTTTCGAAGGAATTGAATTGAAAATAGCTGCCACTATATAGTTCATGATATGAAACAAATGTTAGGTTTCGATTCAGTATGAAGATGTAAATAAATCCATCAGTATTTATGAGTTGTGTCATATAAAATATTTGAATGAAGTCAGTATATTATTAAAGTATATGAAAATTTCAAAGATGTACCGGGAACAACGGCAGCAACACTTCCTAACCTACTGATGAAGTCGGCGCGTCCAATGTGGCTGGAAGCCTGTATCTTCCAAATGGCGTGTTTGACGAACTCCACGAAGAATGAAGTGACTTGAGGCTCGAAAGCCCTCAGACGAAGAAGACGGAACAGTTTTGGAAAGCAGAACCTGATGGCCCGCTTGAGGGCGATGCGATAGTTGGCCTGGATGGACTTCATCCCCATCCTCCTCACCAGCCCTCTGTTCGGGTCCTGCCTGCTCAGACCGAAGGCGTAGCTTCTGCAACAATATTTAAAAATATAAAATAATTTGCATATATACATATATATATATATATATATATATATATATATATAGAGAGAGAGAGAGAGAGAGAGAGAGAGAGCGAGAGAGAGGAAAATTTCATATATCGTTCACTTGAAGGTCTTCTTTTAGTATAGTATTTGTTATGTTAGTCAATTCAAATGTCGAACCGATGTTTAAAATGATATAAATAAATCAATTTGGTTCACGATAGTCATTTTATTTAAATTTTCACTATAATAATCAATAGCCATTTTTAACCATAAACGATTCAACCAGTAGAAGCGAATCATAAAAGTTCTGGGGTTTCCGAAAAATTTATTTTTAGAAAATTCAGTCCAACAGAAAAATAAACTAAAAACTCATAGGCCACAAATTAAAAAAAAAATTTTTGTCTTACTTTTTCTACCATTTCCAAAATTTTAATAGAGGATAATTTGATAATTAATTTAATAATTAAGGGCTTAGTACGCTTACCGCATAATCCGATCCTGTCAACCAAAAATATTTTTTAATTTATGATAATAAAACATTAAAATGTCCTAAACATAGTTTGTAATCTTTTTAATAATATAATTTTCTTCTCTCACTATCATTTTTAATTCTATGAATAATCGACAATAATTATAATAATATTTTTATTAATGATAAAAATGTTTTTATAATATAATATACCATCGATAGCCTCCTATAGCGTATGTGCGGCATTGGTAAATGTCATATATGTTATTAATTAAAATTACCTAATACAGATTAGAATATAATTAAATTTTTTTTTCATTTCTAACTAAACAGATCTCAAACAGTTTTCAACAGAAATAATTAAAATTGGGTCATTATTTATTACTTTTGAAGAAATTTTGAAATTTTAAATGAGTTAGGATCCAGGAATTAGAAATAAATAAAAAATGTAGCTTTCTCACTAATTTTAAATAATTTATGAATGAATATAAATATAATAAAAAATAGTAACAAAAAATTGGAGAAAAATTAAATTTAATTAGAAATTCAATTTTTTTTTTTTTTTTTTACAAGAACTAGTTCTTTAGTAAGTATGTACATAAAATCATTTAAGAAGGCGCTGAAATATCATTTCTAATATAATAAAAATAAATTATTATTTTACATATTATTGAAATCATTATTGATTGAGCCATCATTTTATTTTTTAATCTTTCTGCTTAATCCGACTATGTCACTCAAAAAGATGTAATATTTTTTCTGGTAAGCAGATTATTATCATATTTTTATCTATTCAATGTCCTAAGCTCATTTTATAATCAAAAATGTTAAAGTAATTTTCTGAGCTCACTGGCATTTTTAATTATCTGAATAATCGACAATAGAAGTAATAATATTTTGACTAACAATAAAAGTTTTTTCTAATATAATATATCATAATAATACAGAAAAATAGTAAACAAAAAATGTGGAGGAAAATTAAATTTAATTAGAAATTCAAATTTCTTTTTTTTTTTTTTGCCCGAAGTAGTGCTTCAGTAAGCATGTATATATAATCATTTAAAATCGCTACAATATTATTTCTAATAAAATTAAAATAAAGTATTTTTATACATATTATTTATCGTTTTATTTTTTAATTTTTCTGCTTAATCCTGCCCTGTCAAACAAAAAGCTTTAGTCAAATATAAATAAATCATTATCATATTTTAATCTATTAATGTCCAAAGCTCATTTTATAATTAAAAATGTTAAAAGTATTTCTGATCTCACTGCCATTTTTAATTCTCAATATAATCGACAATAGAAGTAGTAATATTTTTATTAATGTTAAAAGTGATTTTGTAATATAATATAACATAGCAATAAAGACAAATATTAAAAATATTAAACAAAAAAAAATCGAGGTAATTTATATTTAATTAAAAATTCACTTCTTTTTTTTACATGAACTAGTTATTTAGTGTAAATATTTTTTTAAAAATGGGGTAAAGTATTTTTTCTGATAAAATAAAAATAAAATATTACTTTACATATTATTATTATCATTATTGAATGAGCCATCATTTTGATTTATTTTTTCGTTTTCAATATTTTAACTAGTATTTAAAGACACATAAATCAAGACAGAGACAAGCTTTTATTTTATTTTCAATATATTAGGTTGAGTGGATACATATTTAATACACTCAGATTGCTAAACAGGCATTTAGGGAGAACATAATATGTTGTTTCTTGTTCCTGAACAAGGCTTCCAGAACTGATACGCGTTAGTTATGTAACGTGAAATTTCATAAGTGCTCGAATTCTTCTATATTTAAAATTATATCAACTGACGCCGTTCTAAGAGACACTTAACCACAGGTTGAGTCCTGCCTATAATAACTGTTATTACTGACTCCTCTTAATAGCGTTCGCTGGAACATATTTTGCAATCTTGAGGACAGGTGCGAACGGATAGTCGAGTCATTGAAATTCGTCAAAATATCGCCCATTTTTAATTTTTCAACTCATATATTTGAATATGTCAAGTTTTTACCGAATTCAAGCTATTTCTTGGAAGTTTTGATATAGGAAATTACTCGATATATTTTAAAATTAATTGTTGAATAATGGACAGGAATTTTTGGAGCAGGTTTGACTCTATTGGATCATTAGTGACCATTATGTCAGTTATACAATACTTAACGAGTTTTGACACATATAATATTTTAGACGGTTTCTAAGAACCTCTGCTTTCCTCTTGAGAAACTTTAGGAAATATTTATTAATCATTTAATACTTCCACAGAGTAAACCAATGTATTTTCCTTATGGGATAACATGGTAACGTTTCTTTAAACATGTCGGAAAAATACAATGTTTACTTGTAAGATGAGGTTATAAGGGCACTTGGGGTCTAATAGATTCATTAATAATGTTAGGTCAGAAAAAATTATAGAATAGAATAGAATAGAAAAATCATCTTTATTCTGGGACTACGTCCCTTTAGAATAACAGTATTGTTAATATAAATTAACCATAAATCTGGTCAAAAGACCTATTACAATGAATAGTAACAAAATACTAGTAATAAATTAAGTATAATAGCTCTTAATAGGGGTTCAATACTACAATATCGGAGCTAAGACAATAGTATAATAAAAATGAAATTAGAAAGGAACGCAAAATCATTTTTATATTCAAAGCATTGTAGTGATGGAATATAAAAATTTAAAAAAAAGAATAATAACTGTTAATATATAAAGAAATAAATTGTAAAAAAAAAAATGATATACATATGTTCCCTAAGATATTTAAGTGATTACGCGTAAAGGTTAGGAGAGAAAAAAAATAAAATAAAGTGTAAATATATATACACACATAGCGAGTAGTGTGTTGAAGATAATTTTTTTTTTTATTGATGATATTTATAACTGAATTACAAGTAAAAATACATTCAGTAAATGTGGACAAAAGAATATAATAGCATGAAATCACTTGTTGAGAAACTACCCACTGGTAGCACTCTAAAAATGTATTTACAAAAGAAGATCTCGATGCTATCTTCTTTTCAGACGCCTCGGATGGTGAAGATAATTAAAAATTAAAATACATTTCAAAGAAATACAATTATACTATGTGAAATTTAAACTTTTTTTTCTAGCATTGCTCTGCATTGATGTCTAGTTTATAATATATCTAAATTTTTGGTTTTTGTGCAGACGAAGAAAAACAACACATGTTTCTTTACTAGAAGTGGCTTTTGGTTTCGTTATTACACATTTGAATTGGTTTAATATAATAAAATTTTATTTTATACAAAAAAACAATTCAATTGATATATAATATCATAAGAACTAATGCTGAGCAAAGACAGAAAATATACATATATGTTAAAATTTTACATAATATTTTCTTTGTTCATATTTTTCTTAGTTACTAGGGCGTATTTCCTAGAGCCAGGGGTGCCCATCTCCAAAGATTGTATTTCTCTTCTCTTCTTAAAAACAGTGCAAGCAAAAGCAGGATTAGACCAATCCTAGATCAGATACAATTACACGTTCTGTATTCTGTACCGTGTTTTTCTTCAAGTTCTCTGTTTTGAAACTTTTCACTCCGAGAATTCATAGCTCCCTCGAAATGTGACTCCCCTCAAAAATTAATAATCCAATTAAAATGCGGCCCCCTCAAAAATTCAAAACCCAATCAACATGTGCCCAGCTCAAAAATGTTGACGGCCCAACTTGTGGCATGTAATGGATGGATGGATGGCTCCGTTCATCGAAGAAAACTATGGGGTCTAAAATAGAAGAAAAAAGGACTAGAGGAAGGCCAAGAATTACTTGGGAGGATTACCTCAAAAATATCCTTTTTGGAAAAAGAATCGGATGGCTGGAAGTCAGGAGAACAGACATCGACAGATGACATTCTCTGTGCAAACAGATCTACACTGAGATGTAGAAGAGATCATTGAATAAGAAGAAGATGTAGAAGATATTGGCGATATTTCACTTTCAATGCAACCATAATTGAAAATAATCTTTTTTATTTTTTTAATAAGTAATTTTAATTTTATCTATGGTATTGAAGGCATCGAGTGTCCACTTTACCATTAGTTGACAATCTATTACAAACAGAATAACGTTTTATCATTGGATTAAAATATTATAACTTGAGTGAATCGGAAATGTTAAAACGGAACTTGTGTTAAAAGTTGCATGAAAGTTTTACAGCTTGCTTAAGACAAACTTTTACATTTTCACAGTAAATAATAAAAAAGTTTTCCGTGAAATCAAAAAGTTAGTAGGGATGATTGATTTATTTTTTCTTGATGATGGTTGATAGTGTTGCCCAAATGCGAGACCGAGACGAGTCTTGGTATTGCAAACTCAGTCTTGGTCATGGTCTTGATCTTGCGCAAGAGTCTCCCAACAGTCGTGCAGTTACTTATTAGCTTATTACTATAGAGATATAACTGTAATTTTTTAGATAGGAGAATCCTAACGAAGCCGGAATGAAAAATTAAAGGAGTTAAATGCAAAAGTATATTGATTATACCAATTATTAGCATATAGTAACTAAGATTGTCAAGTATTAATAACTATTTTGGCTTAATTTGTATTAAAAAAAATCGATTTTTTTTACCAGTCCTGGTCTTGGTTTTGCCACAGTTAGGCGGCCTTTGCAAGACCAAGACCGATTTTGGGCAACATTAATGGTTGATATTAATATTACTAAGGGCGGTTTGAAATTTATAATTTAAAAAATCTGATCAAAATTTTTATCTGGAATTTTAAAAAATCATTAGATGATCTTTATTTTTTATCATAAATGATAAAAATCATACAATGATGCTTATTTTTGAAAAAAAAAAATTACTATCAACAATAATAATAATTCTTGAGTAATACTTTTTTAATATCAGAAATATAATTTTTTTGTAATCTCTATGATATATTTTGAGTCTGGAGTAGTAGGTGGAGAATATTGTTGTCAACTATTAGCAACAGAACATCTTTATTTCTGAAATTCAATAGAAATTTATGCTTACAAATATATATATATCAGGTACCGCGTGTACAATTAAATCGATTTCAGAAATATAATATTAAAAAATGTGCACATTAATAACGTATAAATAGATATTAATATGTTCTTTAATTTGTATGTAAAATTTTTATTTTCTGACCAAAATGTTTTTTTTTTAATCACAATTCAATTAGTATTATTCATGTGAAATCTTATTACTCAGTTAGTGATCACTATTTTTAGTCGAATAAATAAAGATGAAAGATCTATTTAAATGTTTATTTATAAATAAGGAATGATTTATAAATTAAAAATCAAATATAATAAAAGATATTACACGGTTTTGTGAAACAAATAATTATCGATTTCAAACCCTGTTACTAAGTATTTCTTGGAAATTTATTAGCACTGATTTCTTGAACTATCGGTTTTAATAACATATTCACTCCCACCTTAGCACTGGTTCGGGGCTGTGGGTATTACCGAAGCTCCGTCGTTTCTATGTTTTTTAATCAAGTTCAAAAAAAAAAGTTTTATTAATAATGTAATCAGTCATTTTGACAAGGCGAAGGTGTAGGAAGGACGGGGTATACCAAGAGGTGTTATATAATTTCGTGGTAGCCCAACGTTGGCAAGAGTTGCTTCACTACGACTCAGTTAGTTGCTAATCTGTCGAGTTTCCAAGACGAAAGAGTCCGGCATGTGATTAGGTCCTCCACTCATTAAGAGGTCCTCTGAACCCGTCATTAATACCGGCATCTCATTGGACTAGAACTGGAAGGGGCTTACAAATACTTGCATCTCATTGGTTCATAACTAGGAGGTGCTTACAAAATCACATCGGTGACGAGGGTCACTGCGAGCTGGTAGATGTCCACCTCCTCTGCCTTCAGTTCTGGGAGGATGTCGTCCACGGCCTCCTCCATCAGCGGCAGGGATTCTTTGATTTTCCCCGAAGAGAAGATGGGGGTCAGTTTGGATCTGATCATTTTCCATTTCTCACCAGTCAAACCTGGCAGAAAAAATATATATAATTACTATAAATAGTACTCATTAATGTTTAACAATTTTTATTAATAAGAATAATAAGCAATGAAGAAAATAAAAAGTCAATAGGATACTTTAAAAAAAAAATTGCATACAGAACAGGTAATTAATAAAATAGGTTGATTGGTCAGTTAAATGGTGGTCGGTTTTTTTTTTTCGATTTTTACTCCGTTACTTTCGTCAAGTTGTTTGTAACGATATTTTTTTAAATATACGATTGCTTAAATATGTAGTTTAAATTTAGTGCTATCAACTAACTCAGTGATTTTTATACATCTGCTTTGGAATACCCGATATTGTGACAAGTTAGTTAAACTTATTACACACCTACTATTTCACTGTTTTTGTATACAAATTCAATAAACACACTTGTTCAGGATTTCCATTTTTTTTTCTTTGTTGAACTTTGAAACTCTTTGTTAAGCTCTTGGCAAAACTAAATAACTTAATAGTTATTTCTTTCCTCTTTACTGGGACCTTAGAGGTTATTTTATTCTACTCATTTTAAGGCTCTTGAAGTGGGAGTTTGTATATCGTTATGTTTTCACCTTGTGAAAGTCTGAAACAAACTGAACATTGTTATTTATACTAACTAAATAGCGGTAGTAAAGCTTACTTGATACTACAGTTAAATTTATACTAATAAACATCATTGTGAATAGTATAATTAATTGTTTAGTGTGTTGATGTGACTTGTGTTATGGTCTGAATTGGCGAAACATTGACTATACATTTATTTACTGCTATTGGAAATGTTTAAGAGTTTATTTTGAATCTTAGAACCACGGGCGGATCTACGGGGAGAGGTTTTCGGGCTGAAGCCCCCTCCTCCCCAAAATGGTAAAAATATAACCATCTTTTATGGTAAAAAAATATTAAAAAATTATCACTTAAGGTATTATTGCTCGTGTAATTACATTTAAAAGGACTTTAGGAATCACTTAAAAACCATTTCATATAGGTAGTTAGTTTCTTTTTTCCAAAGTAATTATCGTTATTTTTATGGAAAAAAAGCTTTCTAGCTGAAGCCCACCAAAATTAAATTCTGGAGCTTTAAATAATGTAATGTATTATCTATCTATTTATCTAGGATATATTTTTAGTGTTCTGCGGGAAAATTCATTCCGTGGCTCCGTCACAAAATAGATTCTAATCCGCAGACAGGCCGGAATCGAACCTGCGCCGATTCTGACTCGAGGCTCCTGAGGTGAAGCCTAACTACACTCAGCTAGTTTGGTCTTCATCATCGTTGGCGTAATTAATGATCATTGCCCCCCAATCCAAGAGTTTTTTCGGTGTGTCCTCCTTTCCACTCAAAAAAAATTGCCAACTTAATCCTTAGCTTCTGGGTAATAATGTTGCTTCGCAATATTTCTCATTCTTCATTCTGATCACATTCAAGATAGTAGAATCACGCTCATTTAAGTTAATAAATAATTCTTCTGTCTTTAATTATCCTTTCCTCCGCTAGTTTTAGTACCAGCGATGCGGTTGAGAGAGTAGCGCAGGGTCCTCTTGGAGTCCAGCTTTTCCCTCCATTGTTGGAGGTACAAGCCTTACTCGGAGTTCCCTCGCCCGATTATATTTATGCATGTGATTTTTACTTAGTTTAATTTTCTTATTCTTAAGTTATTTTATTTTATTTATGGTATATACTTTTTGATTATTATTTTGCTTCAATTTATTTTATATTTTTTGCACATATAGTGTGAATGTTATCCTACCTCACAATAACTAATGTTCAAGTGACAGATTGTTGTAATACTGAATAAAAAATAAATAATTATTCATTCATTTGATTGAAAATATACTCGTGTACACTGGAACCTCCACACAGACTCTAAGCCTATGCATTGGTAGTATTGAAGTTATTTATGCAAACTATTTTATTATATTTGTAATATGATCTGAATGTATTTGAATAATTAATTAATTTATACACCGGAATTATAGGGATGATAATAACAATATTCTGACCGATCCGGTTGACATATTGAATAAGTTTAAGGACCACTTTGACAATATTTTAAATACGGGAAATTATGATCTGTGTCCTCCTTCTGAGTACCAGAGTGCTGAACCGTTAATAGAAGGACCAAGTAAAGAGGAAGTTAAAGTAGCTATCGGAAAATTAAAATCATATAAAGCAGCGGGAATCGATAATATTCCTACTGAACTAATTAAGGCATGCGGAGAAGCTGGAGTTTCTAAAATACATCGGTTGGTTAAAAAGATCTGGGTGAACGAGAAATTACCTGAAGAATGGAAAGAATCTATTCTTATTCCGATTCACAAAAAGGGTCCGAGGACGGATTGTAATAACTATCGAGGAATTTCACTCCTTCCGGTATGTTATAAAATATTCACTTTAATCTTAACCAGTCGAATCACGGAATACGCCGAGGAAATTATCGGAGACTACCAATGCGGATTTAGACGGAATCGTTCGACTACTGATCAAATATTTTCTTTACGGCAAATATTAGAGAAAAAATTGGAGTATAACGGTATTGTTCACCAGCTGTATATAGATTTTAAAAAGGCTTACGATTCTATTGACCGCCGGAAACTGTATAATATTCTAATCGAGCAGGGGATTCCAAAAAAACTAGTAAATCTTGTCAGGATGTGCTTGACGGAGACACTCAATAAAGTTAGAATCGGTAATAATTTGTCCGAAAAATTTGAGGTTCGTTCGGGCTTAAAACAGGGGGATTCTCTTTCGCCTGTCCTGTTCAATTTGGCATTAGAACATGCCATTAGGGAGGTAATGCGAACCGAGAAAGGGTTGGATCTGGGCGGGACAACATCCGTGCTGGGCTATGCAGATGATCTGGTACTGTTAAGCGAAGACGTTGAAACTATAAAACTAAATACGACAACGTTAATGAAAGCCGGGAAAGAACTAGGACTCGAAATAAACGTGGATAAAACAAAATATATGGTTAGCTGCAAAATGGCGATACTACTGGTGATATCGATATAGATGGTAATATGTTTGAACAGGTAGATAAATTTAGGTATCTAGGTTCTACGATAACTAGAAAAAACGAAATTGAAGAAGAGATTAAGGTTAGACTGCGGGAATGCTTGTTATTTTTCTGTGACAAAACTACTTAGTTCGCGCCTCTTGTCCCGAAACTTAAAAATTAGAATCTATAAAACAATTATCTTACTACAGTTCTTTATGGATGCGAAATTTGGCCGCTTACATTAAGGGATGAGCAGCGTCTTAAGGTTTTTGAAAATAAGTATTGCGTAGAATATTCGGACCGAAAAAGGATGAGTTAACCGGAGAGTTCAGACGGTTACACAACGCCGAATTGCGTGAGATGTATCCGGGTAATATAATTGAGGTAATTTCATCGCGGCGAATCAAATGGGCTTGTAAAGTTGTTGGGCTTAGTAACGAGAGAATTCCTAAAAGGTTAATATTTGCTGTGCCGAATGGTAAGCGTCCGAGGGGTAGACCGAAGCGAAGATGGGAAGATTGCATTAAAGCCGATCTGAAGGGACTGGGTTTGGACGGCGAACGGTGGAGGGAGGTGTGTAACAAGCGATTGGTGGTGTCGGCATCGAACCTTTGGGTTCGCTAAGCCTTATTATTATTATTATTATTATTATACACCGGAATTATGAATGAAACATATGACACGCTTACCTATGAGATGCTGAGATAGCGGATCCTCGGACTTGTCGAGCTGGATGGGATGCCTCTTGTCGGCGAAGTGCTGGAAGTCGGCCTGCATGATGGCCACCACCAGAGCGGGGTCGCGGACCATGAGGACCGGGGTCCTGCCCTTGAAGAAGCCGAGGACGGGGGCCGAAGAGCTGCGGTAGAGGCGGCAGACCTGCGGGAGTCCCGGGGCCAGGGAGCGCAGCAGAGCCAGGGGGCGGTGCAGCGGGCAGGCCTCCTCCCAGTCCAGGCCCAGCCGCCGCCAGTGCTCTCTAGATCTGGAGTCCTTCCACAGCAGCCAGCCAATGAGGGCGAGCAGCGTCACCACCAGCAGCATTGCGTCTGATCATAGGCAGAAGAGAAGATATCATTGGATTTGTAATTTAATTATTAGGCTAAACGTACTGAGGTATATTATATTAATTACAAAAATAAGACCATTCGAAACCTTTCAACTGGACAGATGGTTATCCTTAAACACGCCAAACACATTTTCAAAAAATTACTACAATAAAATTGAAACCAAATACGGAACGATAAGAGTATCTCAGAGATTTAAATACCTTGGAGAAAGCATATGCAGCAATGGGTCAGAGAGAGAAGGATTTAAGGAAAGAATCGCCAAAATAGAGAAATTAAGCTTCGCCATCAGTGATCTTTATAAAAAGAAGAACTTTCCGCTATAAACTAGGATACGACATTATAACACGGTCGTCAAGCCATTGGTACTCAACGCAACAGAAACTTCTTGTCTTCCCAGTCTAGAGAGCCTTCTGTAAATAGAAAGAAGAATTCTCGGGAGATTCTACGGCCCTGGAGAACACCTGAAGGATACAGGTTGAGGTCAAATGAAGATATATATATATAAGGAAACAACAGATCTAGAAACTGACGCTAGAGTGTGATCGCTGAGGTTCTATGGCCATATGATGAGAATGAATCCTGAAAGACTTAACGATAAAATTTTTCAGCGAATCTGCAGTCATAAAATTTTAAGCGGGTATTTCAAACAGATTAAGGATGATATGGACCAAGTGGGGCTAAGAGACCAAGATTGTTTGGACAGAGATGAGTATGGGAAGCCGCTCAAGAGAATAACGGTTCTTGCGGGAAAGAATCGCTCCAAAAAGGGTTTTGCGTTGTCTGAGGAGAGAAAATGTAAGTAAGCGGAGCTCATGAGGGGCATGAAGAGGAGGCGGATGAAGAGGAATCATTGAAATCGTAATTGAATTCGCGTGGTCTTTAAGGCCTGCTCGTGAGAAGAAAAAAATTAGACTCTAAAACTATTCTGACAAATACAATCGCCAGCTGGGGGCGCCAGTCTATCTTTAGGATCTTACCACTTTGAAGAAGTATATAAAAGTTACAAAACGTATAAAAATAATTAATTTTAGCCTACCAATAAAGCAACTGAAAAATGTTGCAATAAAATTTAAATATTACATAATATTAAACAGATTAAGAAATAAATGTAATATTTTTAGGAGTGGAGATGACGTCATTCCTCGGTGGCGCACACTGTCTAAGGCCGGCACTGGTTGGATCTATTTTATACAGTTACAAAGACTTGTGAAACCGGGTATTTTCTTCACTATCATATTTTTGGTTTTCTATTTTTTAACTTGACATTGATTTAATTGGGTTTTTGGAAATTTTAAAGATACTGAGGGATTATAATCCCATATTATAGCTATCAAAAAAAGTTCTGTTTGTAGATGGGATTAACTCGTAAATTAGCTTTACAGACCTTCTTGTTCTTTGACCGCCTGAACCATATATATATATATATATATATATATATATATATATATATATATATATATATCTGCTTTCTTGGGCTACATTACTGCTTTCAGGTTATAACATCATCTTTGTTGATTCGTTCTTTCAATCTGTTGTTTTACCTTGCTTACAATATTCATATAATGGTGTATTCGTTGTTATGTAGTGGCTTCCTGATGGTCGTAGTACATCTTAACCTCCTTGTTTCATATCATGAAATATTTATAGAAGTTACCTGTTGTTTGGATTAGCAGTATGCGCCAAAATCGCTATCGATCAAAATTTTTCTCTACAAATTTTCAATAACTATTTATTGATTTACTAAGGGGAAACCCCCCGTCCACCTAACCGCGTAACAACCCCGCTTCTATAAATTATACAAATGGAAAGAGTGTATGAAAAATAGAAATTTTTAAAGAAGGGGATAGTTAAAAATTGAATTCTTAAACAATATAAGTGGAAATTGATTATACGATGTTAGTTTTTGTATTAAAACTCTCGATATTTTATAGCATAATAGCTGTAAGCTTAAAGATGTCTCTCAACAGGGTTGGAGCAAGGGCGTTGCCAACATAATGCTCAGAGAAAGAAACATGAAGATAAAGCGTGAAAGGGCCTCAATATTGGTTCTTAATTGAAGACGCATTGATTGGCAGCACTGATTGCAGGGTTGGAAGGCTTTGCGATATTACCCAACTTCTCCCAACAGCGCTGAGATCAACATGCATAATTACAGCGGCGATCAGAAGCGGAAGTTGGCGAGCTTGGACTGGATTCGCTAAACAGTATCTGCTTTCGCTGGCCCACGGCGGTGGTGTTAGCTCACTGTTCACTTTCCTCCGGTTATCGATCACTCAAACCTATGCAATATCTAAAAGAAATTTACATATGTAGGCCTTAGCTAGGAATCAGAGTGGTTGTAAAATAAAGGTTGTGGGAGTGATACTACAGAAAGAGCATAGCTGCTTACCTCACAGTCGTAGAATGCCTTATTAGTAACGTTTCCGACCTACATACCTCTATATATATATCATCCAAGCGAGATAACATTAATAAAAGACTTCCAGTATATTTCAGGAAATTTAAAAAAAAACTAAATGCTCTAAAAATATAAATACTTCTGCATTGGCCAAACGAGCATTAAGATATGCAGTTTTAGACGTTTGGTGAAGAAAGAAAAAACATAATGTTAACTGAAATAATTAAATTAAAAAACTACAAAAACCCGCTTATATCAACTAACGGAGTATTAATAATAGTACACGATTCAGACCTCTTTTTATAAAATTATTAAAATCCTCCTAAAACTTCGTGAATTACTTCATCTTATCGTTAACTACAAATTAATTATTTATTTAATGAGGTAAACTTGTGAACCCATATTTGATTTCCTCCTGAATTGTAAGATAATTTGATCACTAAATCGAGAAAAAAGGTGGCCTACAAAAATATTGGGCCGTTTGACGTGACCTCCACCCCCAATATGTCACAATAACGAGCTTATACTTGCCAAACACCTCAATATTTTTGTAGGCCACTTTTTTTCTCGCTTTTGTGATCACATCACCTTACGATTTAACTGGAAAGCTAATGGTTGTACCTAAGCACCTAATTAAATAGACAAGGTTTGTCGATCTCCAGATTGAAAATCCCCTATTCCAAGAAGAAATTGCAATTAAGAAATGTATGGACACTAAATAAGTTGAGTGTATTTGAAAATATAAAAGTCATTAAAATAAATTAAGTGTTAAAAGTATGAAGGTTGTCATTAAAAAATCCAAATTGTTATGCACTCAAAAATTAAATGAATAGTCATATTTTGAGAGAGGTGAGTTTAATGAAATAGTAACATTCCGTGGTACAGACACCTTTTTATGAAATTCTTAACATTCACCGGAAACTTAGAAAATAGCTTCATCTCATCGTAACCTACAACTATTTTATTTACGAATATTCTCAGAATTGTGGAGTTTTCAATCTGGAGATTGGCAAACTTTGTCTATTTAATTAGATATTAAACACTCGTAAATACCCATTTGCTTTCCAATTGAATCGTAAGATAACATAACCACAGAATTGAGAATAAAACTGGCCTTTGAATATATCGAGCCATTTGGCTTAACTTATATCTACAAAATATCAAATTGATGAGGTTATATAGGGCAAACGCCTCAATATTTTTTTAGGTCTCCTTTTATGTCGAATTTATGATCAAATTATCTTACGATCCAAGTGGAAATAAAAGGGGTATTTTTGAGTTTGTATTACTTAATTAAATAGACAATGTTTGCCGATCTCCAGGTTGAAAACGTCCCAATTCCAAGAGTTTTCGCAAATAAAATATTTGTAGGTTACTATGAGACCAAGCTATTCACGAAGTTTCAGGCGGATTTTTGTTTTTATATTTAATTATTATGGAGCAGCTTCCTTCAAAATTTTTAAGCCTGAGGGTCACACTGATTCTTCAAGTGAGTACCAAGTGTTGGCATGATCATCCAGTCAGCTCATCACATAAACAAAATTCATATATCACAAACATGACATTAATAAATAATGTTATAATATTATAATAAAAACATATATTACATACAGAACGGTTTTGTTAATTTGAAACTAACTAGTAATCCTAATATCCTAGTGATCCGAGCAAGAAATAAAACAAAGTTGAAGTTGACTGACGAGAGACTTAGAAATAGCTTTATCCCTTGCTACATATTATTGGAATCGCATCGTGTGCTAATGTCGAAATAGTATTGAGGTGTCTCTAAACGGAAAACATTAGAACCAGGCTGTCATCCCGAAGTTGAGAATCTCTTTATATGTTGTTTTTCGGAAAAGAGATCACGAGTGTGCCCAGTGTTCGGGGGTGTATTGGCTGAAAGGTAAAATATGTATGTAATACTTTTTTTAAGGATGGCAAAAAAGATTTTAATGCGAATAAAGGTTGGCCTTTTAATTTCAAAAGCAATGTGGAATAAGGTTTTTATTATTAATTTTTATTTCACTGGAAAATTCCTTTACACCCATTTTATTTTTCATTAAAGATAAGTCCTAAAAACCCCATAAAGAAATTAAATACTTGCTTGGAGGGGACGAATCGAAACAACGCCGACTACTGAAGCGTGGTACTTTTAAGCACTAGCGGATCTAGGATTTATTTTTGGGGGGCTTCAGCCCGAAAGCTTTTTCCATATATATATATATATATATATATATATATATATATATATATATATATATATATATATATAACGTTATTTAATTTTTTTTTAAATATTTTAAAAATTAACTACCTGTATGAAATGGTTCTTTAAGTCCTATTAAATGGAATTACACTAACAACAATTTTTTAAGAGATAGTTTTTATTTTTTTTTTCTTTAAATATGGTTATATTTTACTATTTCGGGGGGGAGGAGAGGAAAGGGCTTCAGCACGAAAGCCATACCCACACACGTAGATCCGCCTGTGCTTTTAAGGAATATACGATATCGGGTGTTTTCTTTAGCACAAAAATTACAGTGACAAACTACAATATATGATCATTTTCAGAAATA